AGCAGGGCGTCGCAATTATCCCAGGATAGATAACAATAACCTTCGACAATCAAGATCTTATCAACGTCCTGGCTCTTATCTTCAAGTACCTTTGTACTCGACGGATACCATAGCGGAATACCCTTGCACGAACAATAACGCGATTTTGATCACAAAGCAAAGGACTTTTATTCAGGCTTAGCTTTTTGTCTTTGCACCACCTGTTCGTGGGAAATTTTTATAGGAGTTGATAAAGATAAATTTGCGAACTTTTATCACCGTATATATGCGACATAAGCTTAGTCCTTAATTACTGTATAGATGTTGTGATTTTTTGAAAAAATTTTCAGCACGAAAAATCTGAACTACACGAAATATCAATTTACCTGATTTAGACCTGATAGCCTCATCGGGCACGTTGGGTATCTGGCGCGTAATTCAAAGTCACTGTAGTTTTATCGCGCAGAACGAGCCATCTGTGACGGGAGAAATCAAACGTGAGATAATTTTACGTAATCGCGTGGGTCTGTAAGCTCGTACCGGATATTCGAGAAATAACATGGACTAATTCTAACTGGGAGTAACGTAATAAGGATCTCTAGGTTCTGGTACCAACTTTGTGGTCTGCAGTCAGATCGGTCTATAGTTATTGACTTCCGTTTCGTGTCATAGGTCAATTCAGATATCCGCTTGGATAATTAAGACTTGTCTTCTCTAGGCTGCCTTTACAGTTCAATTTCAAAATCATCCTGACCTATGGGTATCTTATACAGGATGATTAACTGGTATGGTATACGGGTAATAAATAGATCACTCCCTAGCCTATATATGGTGACCGAAAAATGAGGGGAAAATAATACCTTTTTTTTTCCCCACCACATAATAGCTGTCTATACCGAATTTTCCATGAGTTTTTTTTTGTAATCTAACAGAATGCTTTTTCAAATACGAGAAACAAACACATGGTCCGCGTCTCTATTGGAAGCGATCGAGAACGATCGGATGACACTGAATTTATAGGGATCGATTAAAGAAGACCGTTCGGCCCCAAGCAGAAGGTCGCTCGGCTCTGTTATTTTTTAGTGCGTTGACACGTGGCTGACGAGTCCGAAGATGCGGCAGCTGGGTGAATGACTTGTCATTCAAGTATCTTAAAAATCGAACGTTCGAAATACAGCCTTAAATAAATATCTTCGTAATTCGGTGCACTGGTTAGGTGAGAAGCTGTAAACAATTTTTAAAAATTATTTTCAATCGAAATCGTTAAAATTAATTGTCGATAATAACCTTTGTTATCCTTAAGCGTTCGAGGCTCCGAAATAAGCCTATCGCTTTCGGCAAAGATCATCGAACCTTAAAATGACTTGCATTTGAGGTTAGGAGTAGCCTCACCTGGTGGTCACACTTCAGGGGGTACTCCCAGGGTAAATTTGACGGAAGACACAGGGCGGAAGGAATGTCTTACACGCACGCGCTTAACCCCCATGACTTGAGGCAACTCAAATCGGCCATATCAATAACGTTTATTCCATTTTCTAGCGTGACTTGAGATTTTACGAGACACCCTTTCGAGACCAGCTGTTTGTCTTGGTCTTCTGGTAGATTACTAAACTGTTACGTAATGGCGTCCTGCCGTAGGCATACTTACCTAATTAAACCGTAACGAAGATATTCCTCTTTGGGGTTCGGTTACAAATTAGTGCCGAGAGCACGTGGGTATATTCTGCAGCTGCACAATCGGACGAGACACCTATGCATCGTTGAACGAACTAAAATTCATTTATACACGCGCAATCGACGCCTACCTTAAAGCGTCGCGACGGTAGAACTAAGCGATATGAAAAATCGTAATTTTTATGAAAATAGACAAAAAATAACAAAATTAAAAGTCATTAAAATTTTTGCACGGTTCTGATTAGGTCATTATTATTATTCTACCAAAAAATTATGTAATTAACACTATGATGTGTTTTCGAACGTAATTAAAAATTACGTCAATAAAGTTACGCCCAAATCCCTGATACGCGACGGAGATTACATACGTTCCATAGCCAGTGTATAAAACTGTATAGGCACGAAGTATTGACACAACGTAAAAGTAGGGAGAATGTTTGATAAAAGATATAGATATTGGTCGAAAGGTAATAGCATTTGCAGGCCCCATCTGTCGTATGCAGTGTAGGTACCTACGAGATAAGGTATTAGGATCACTCGTATAGATTACAGGATTTAATGCTAGAAGACCAAAATTCCCTATTTTATATGAACACTTAAACGAAATATGTATATTCAAAAAAAAAACGCGATTGAAAATTTTATATATATTTTTTAAAATTTTCATTAAAATTTCTTCAAAGGTCCAGCTCGAGAATTTAACGAGATAACTGACCCATCCATATGGTACTTCTTGAAAGGCATCTACGTATACCTATATATATATATATCGATATAGAGAAACTGTCCGAGACAGGACATCTGCCCGAGGCATTAGAAAGATCCATTTATTCGAAGCAAAGGATAATTATAGGTTCTTTCGGCTAATGGGCCCATTTATCAAAACCACACTAACCCATATCAATTGAAGTCTGGGCCTTATGCCTAAAAAATATTCCCTTTCTTTTCTATTACCTATCCAATATACGTGTGGCATGAGATGAGAATATATACAAAGTTTACTCGCCACGAAGTATATTTACCTAGATATCGTACCTAGAGAAATTATCGATCGTATCCAGGTCGTCAGGAACGACGCCTCAGGTAGTCATGTACGACCTCGAGAAAAAGCCTCGTTCAGTTAAAAAGTTAAAACTTACCGTCAGGGATCGTATAATTATCGCAAGTGGCCATGGAGAACGATAGGGGCTCGACATTGCACCTGAACCTTAAAGCGTCGCGTTGCCCGTGAATTCCATTGTTAAGACCCGCATTATTCACTGGCACAACTCGCGCTGATATGATTATGCCTAATGTATGCTAAAGAATTACGAACCAGGAATATATATATATATCATCCATGATCAAGTAGTGAGAGCGACGCCTGGCGACTCTTTTTTTAAAAGACGTATCGACGCGTCTAAAATCTGAGTAATTGTCAGGCCTGTATCGCTAAATGGGGTTAGGGTTACGAGTAACGAGTGAAATGAGATTTTCGATAAATACGTATACGGCTGATCGAATTGACCTTGAAACTCAGTTGGAATTCTACTATGCAGGCGTCTGCACGGGTCATGAATTTTATTAGCCATCGAATAGCGTCGCTCCATTTACTCTTGGGACTTAGGGACGTCACCCCGAAATGCAGTTTGATGTACACTTTGACGCGTGTCAGAAGCCATTTTGGATTCCCTTCGTGACACAATAAATGCCATGCTGATTTTTATGGGTTTACAATGATCCTAACCCAAGAGGGTGTTTTTGTATTTTCGATTCAAGAATATCTGAATTTTCAGGTGATAACGAGTATCTGCTATCAATGATTTTGAAATCTTTTTTTTTTTAATAATGAGGTAGAGAATTATTATTATTATTATGAGAAATCCATTCTATCCCATGGCGACGAATCCCATAGCCTTATGTCGCGTGCCTTTCTACAGTATAGATATATACCCATGTATTCTATATGTGCAGGAGCGTACAGATCGTAGAATCGAGACTTCACGGGGGGATGTGCCCCTCGGCTGGTTTGCACCCTTTGCTACAAAATCGTGACGCGTGCCTGCATATTTTTTCTCCGGCCGTGAAATGTATTCACCCCCCGTTTTGAAAATCTGTCGGCGTCCCTTCTCCCCATTGAGGATAGAAGGGGAAAATTACAAGAGCCACTATGTGCTCGCGGGCCCATATCAACCACCGTCACTTGGAAGTCACTCAACCCCATAGAAAATAGCGACAGCTGGCCCAGCCCGGCACCCACAGGCTGAAGTCCTTAAGTAGGTGCATACGCATTTTTAAAAATTATACAAGTACAGGGACACGCGAGACTCGCAGGTTTCGGCAGGAAGTAACGTGGAAAGGGGGAAATATATATTTATCAAGAAACTATAGAATTTTCTTCGGCGATCATTACTATAATATCGAGGCAACCGTGTTATTCCAAAATTGCTAAATACAGTGTTTAACGCGATTCGTTACCTGTTGCAGTTGACACTGCAGAACTGTTTCGTACGAGAATTAGCGTGGGAACGATATTCACGTTATATATATAAAAAAATAACACTGGCTGTATACCTATGCGATTGTAAACAGTAAAATTTTTAAAATAAAGACAAATAAATAAAAAAAAGATATTGCCAGCAAAGTAAAAATAATTGAAGAAAAATACGATAAGGTAGACTAGTGGAAAATAAAAGCAAAGCTTTTTCATTTTTATGGGTACTAGCACCTTGGACTCTCTTTAACGTCATACGATAGGGGTTATCAGGTTTATGATTAGTTTAGAAATTTTGAAAAATTTCACTATATTTTTTGCCAAGGATAAATCTCTCATTTATTGTCTTGAACTGTGTGAAGTTATTGCCTCGGTGGATTCCGATTTACTCGGTTTTCCAAAACATGAAATATAATCGAAAAGCTTTTCCAGAAGTTTAAGGACTGAGGGTCTCTCGTCGGGACGGGATCGCTCCTAGCGTAGAGACTGCACGTAAAGCAAGTAAAAGGTGCAACGTTAATTAATCAACCGTCAAACTAACGTATGGTATCTATAGTTACAGTGGGGGCGAAAGAGGGGTCGCGCGTAACGCTCCGTGGAAACCGTTTAAATTTGAATCTGCGCTTTTGGACTATCTGCTGAGAGGCGCATCGCGCCGCGTGGATATTTCATTTATGATTTTCCCTGAAAATCAAGTGGGGGCTAAGGAAAGCTCATAGGGCAGCCAATCGGAGACGTCCTACGAAAAGCTCGATGCGCGCTCAGCGTTATGGGCGGTACTTTCTGAGAATCATTGGGGTGAAGTGAAGAAGTGGGGGAAGCGAGGTATGCTAGGTCGGGGAGACTCGAGTTAGGGTTAGTCTGCGACCAGGCGAGCCAGTGTGCGCTTGCGTGGCCTCCTAGGGCTATAAGGCTCCTCTTATAAGTCTCAACCATCCCTTGGGGGCCACGCAAATTTCTATCGCTTTACCAAAGCCCAACTTTTTGACAACCGGATCGAACTCATCTATCCATATGGGACACAAACGTCATCTACACGGAGGCAGCGTAAGAAGGAGAAACTGCAAGGCTGAAAAATCATCAAACAATTTTGAGGTACCCTGATCATCGCTATCTCAGCTTAATTAACTAAAACCGATCGATAAGACGGTAAAACTCGAAGACTGATAAATGCCTGTCTCCAATAGACATCTTGTAAATATACGGCACAGACCTACGGTACCGTTGACATCATTGACATCGCTTCATGATTGCTGAAAGGATGGAGAGAAAAATTTTTTTTTTTCGAAAAAAAAGCAAAAAAATTGAAAAAAATTTATCATTATCTGGATTTACCCGATGATCCATTGTCTTTGAAGATTGACTTCCGGTTTACTGGATCATCTGTCAATTGGCTGTTTATCGATCTGGAAATCGAAGGATACACCACGTGACGCATTTCCGGCAACGCATAAAATTCAAATGACTTTTTCTTGTCTGAATTGAAACAATGGAATCATTGTACTGAAGACACGTTCGATCGGCAACCTTAACACCGTTTCGACATCGCTGAGAGCTGCCTTTCTAAGATGCACCTGAATTCACTGACTCGTATCACCATGCACGCCTATCCGATCAATGTTGGAATCCGAATGACGTATATCTTGGAAAATGAACATTGGAAAATGACTTGAAAAGGAACCTGACAAGATCATCGGTACTTCCGGAAGACACGCTGCCCTCGTCCTGTTCTCGCTACTCAGGCAAATATCTCAAACTGACAGATCATTAGGTACGATTATCATTCACTACGATCATTAATTTCAAAATTATCATTTGATTCTTAATCGAAGTGGAAAATGTTACAAAAATTTTTGATTACAAATTTCATCGATTTTCTCGTACTTCAATTTTATGCTTTATGATTTTATTAAACATTCTTTGCATTGTTTAATCGATCGATCGAGTCAATAGAACCGTATTAGATGTTACGTAATTTCAAGTGAGATTAAATTTAAGTTTCGGAGTGAGTGTCATTTTGATTTTTACTTGAACATTCAAAATTATTTTTACTCCTTTCTCTTCCTTGCTCTTACTTGCTCTCTTCGTTTCTCGTACAAACAATTGATAGATTTTGAGTTTTCCTTTTTTATCGATTACTTGTATCAGTCACGTCCTTACCGTAACGATTTCTAGTCAACACATCGAAGTCAAAATAATGTCTAGTCACAAATAAATATTCTAGTCAAAATCTAAGTCAAGCATCTTCAAATTATGACTTTCGAATGGTGCCATATATAATTTCAAGTCCTTTGGTTCAATGAAACTAGGAAAAATTTTCATTATACACAAGGACGATCCATCTAATCCATAAATTTAGCATAGTCTTGATTAATCGGTTAGTGATAATAATGATAAGAAATCCATACTCCTACATTCCGATCGCACGCGTGTAGATTAATCTAAGAGATACAGAGATTTATAATAATAATAATGATAAGTATAAATTATAACAGAGAATCTAGTCACTGTCCTTAAATTTTATAATGATTTGAGGTATTACAGGAAATTTTATCTAATCATTTTTCTAGTCAGAAAATTAACATAAAAGAATTTCAAGTCATTACATTTAATCTTATCTCAATCGACAAATTTATCTAATTAAAATTAATTTGATATTCGAGATTGAATATGCAGGCCCTTAAAAATGCAATTTATTTTCGGGTTTAAGTTCCCGCAGAAAAAATTAAATTCTTAGTATTATATATGTTTATGCAATCTTATTTAAGTGTCTTGTAATACGTATTCGAATTTGTGTATCACCGTGTCACAACGCCCAACACTGCCCGTGAATGCGATGCCATGTGAACTTACGTCGAATGAGTTTGGCAGTCACGATCTTTCAAAAATCCTTGAAAATTATTTTCCAAGTATTTTCGAAAGTACGAAACATTTCTACAAATTAGAAATAAGTTTTCACTATTAAGAACCTTAGTTATAGCTTATAAGAAAAAAGAAAATTAACTCGGCCATAAAGAAACAATTAAGCTTAGATACGTATAAGATAGACTCGTGTCCATTTTGAGCAATCGTAATTTTTTATTGAATTTTGGGAAACGTGCCAGTATTAATTTTGAGTATTCCGTAAAAAAAAAAAAAAAGAAAAAAAAATTCGCCGGAACAATCAATACAGCCTCAAAAAAAATTAAACATAATACACCGAAAAAAGACTGAAAAAATATTAAAAAGAAATAGATCGTTTTTTGGAAAAAAAAAAATTGCAGACTAGTCAGGTTCCGGTGAATCTTTTCGTTTGTCAAATACGCACCAAGTGCCTGTGTATGACGTCATATTTAGTTTAGTTTAGGATCGTCTGAAAAATTAGTTCAAAAATTTTAATTTTAAGTCAAACCTTAATAATTTTGAGTTCTGACAAGGGCTTTTCTTTCAAAGTACAAATTGTCCGTAACGGCAGCTACTAATTATAGAGCAGGTATAGTACAGTAAAGTGTTAGGGTTAGGATAGGTTATGGTTCCGAGGGACGAAATACGTATTCAGGTCGAAAGCACTTCGCAAGCTTTCGTACTGCGCAGACGAAAGCTCTGGGTTTAACTTTCTGCCTGAAACGAACTCTGAAATTCGGACGCGTCTCGGCCACTGGCATAAAGGTTAAAAGTTAATTAAATGATACATAATTTTTTTGGATGAATCAGACCAATCGTCTTTCGCTTATAATTTCATTGCTTTTATTAGATTACAATTAAATAGTATTACGGGGCTGTGTTTACTTTAATATATTTATTATTCACGTTTAATGGAATGAATTGTCCTCGCAGTTACCATGAACAAAAAGAAAGCGCGACTACTGACTACAAAAAATTTGATAATTTTTATCGACACTCTTATTTGGTCATTTTTCAAAAATATTAGTCCTATTAATAATATTTTACTTCCACCGACTTCTATCTTGCTACCTATATTCGATTAATTTCATTACGTCGGCGAATAAAACTTTAGAAGGAAAAATTTTCAGTTAACAGAGACACAATCAAATTTAATTTAAGACCTAGTCATTTCTCTAGTTTAATTTTGTACGATGAGCTTTACAGTCGGTATAAGAGATAGGATAGATATAGTATATCGATAATAATAATATATGAATAAAGTAATATATGAAAATATATTAAGAGTGGACTCTAGTCACGGCACCCATGGACAAGAATCCGAAAAGTTCAATCAAAGTGAATGATTTGAAAAATTTTCTTTTATCATGCAAACAATTATAACAATAGCATTGATATGCAGCTAATATTAAAATTTCAATTGAAAAATTTGGTTTTGTAATAACTACGTGAAAAAAAAAATACAATGATTCAAAATCATAAAACTTTGATGAACGCAGTAAGGTATTTGATCTCAGTCCTCGGGTAATTAATCTAGTCTGTAAGATAAGGATACTTAATAGCACGTAAGAATAGAAAGCGATAAATCTATACATGGAAAGACATACCTATAGAATAATTTCAAAAACTCGAGTTTGTGTTCCCAATGAATGCTAAAAGTCAATGCCTACGTCGCGTACACAATCTCTGGAAATATAATGATATTTTGATAATAAGATAAAGGATCGACAATACCAATTTTACAACTTTGCATAATACTTAAATTGTATAATTAAAAAAAGAATGAATTAAGGTATCCCACGTACTTTTAAGTCTTAAATTAATTTTTTTACCGTGTCAATATATCTATGTATTTATTTTTACGTATAATCAGTGCGAGACGAAGCAACGAGACTTTGACGATAATAAATTACAGCCTCGATACTTTGTCTCTGATAAGTTTGGTTTAACGAATAATCGGTACCGTGTGTAGCGTGTGTGTGTGTGCTTTTTTTTATTCATTTTTGTACGTGTGTCGTTTTTGAGCTTGCATTTAACCACGCGATCATATATATTTTTGCTATACCTAATTATACTTTGAAAAAGAAAAAAAAAAAACAAAAAAAACCAATACCGACAATTTTCAATATAATATATTTGTATTTATACTATATTATAGTGAAATTTTTTTTCACTACCAGTAAGACAAACATAAGCGATATGAGCAAAACACAAAGCCACGCAATTTATAAACACAATTTTACAACGAAATATAATATTTGATGAAAAATGTGCAATAATTTATTTAAAGGTGACAGATATGACCGCGCATTCCTAACCTTTTTAAAAGATCCCACTAATGGTTATCTTCCCATTGAATAATAATGAAAGAAGCGCAGCTATTACGCATTTGAAATACGAAACATTTTAGCTCTGAATATTTTATTAGTCCTGTGCGATTGAGGCGCAACCCTCCATCACGTACGAAGACGAAGGAGATATGGATTCCAGGTTAATGCACTGCATTGGTAACTTAGCATAAATCGTGATACTATGTATTGTATAATAATAATTAAAATAAAAGATATATACAATTAGTATTGTATTAAATTATTATAAATATCAGTACGTACAGAATTTGCAATGAGAAATCAAATTTTAAACACAAGTTACTATAGACTACCGACTCGTCTTCGTTAAAACCTCAAGAGATTCCAATAAATTATCTATGACGTAGGATGTGCTGTAGAGTATTCAAAATGGATGTAATTAATTCTGTAATTATACGGTAGCTATATTAATTCTATGGATACAGGGCGAACTACCTGATGGACACATAGCAGATATATCGCTGTAGTGTTGTAGGTTATATTACTAGTTTACAAAGTTTCGTAGTCTAGACGTATAGGAGGCTTCTATAGCGCCAAGTATATGAAGACATATGGAAAGGTACGGACTGTATCTGTCTTTTGGCTGTGATATAAGAAGAAAGTTGATAGTTTCTGGAGTTGAGGAAACAAAAATATTTATTGAAAAAACTATCTCTTTACCGTACTGTGTATAGTCGGGAAGACGAAACGTGCAATGTTATCGATCTTCTTGAGCGATGTTCGGAATGGCAATTGCAATGTATGATTTCAGTGAATAAAACTTGAAGATGTGCGTGGTTCGATCGAAATTTGTTTTGATGGTAGGATCTTTCACTTAGAAACTTGAACAGACGCGGCACCATGCAAAAATGATTGCGGCTTATCGATTTTTGTGCAATGTAAGGGGAACGACGTGAAACTTTTTCGAAAACTATTGTGTTGGTCGTATTAAGATTGTATGGATATGGTGACGGTTCGAAGTTTCATAATGATATTCTTTTTTTAAAAGTGAATAGTGAAAGAAAGAGAGATAACTGAATAAATATCTTATATAATATATTCATCAGATCCTGGATTTGGTAATGCATGGACGATCGTGTTATCTATTATCATTTTAGAATGACTTCAGATTGCTGTGATTATTGCTCGTATTTCAGAAGTTCAATGTTACGAGTTTGATGTCGCTATGATCCAGGAATTATATGGCACTGTGTAGAGACTGTTGAAATTACTTACTCCATGAAGAAGACCTACAATCAGTAATGCAGTAAAGATTATGGCCATCGACTGAAGATAAATAGACCAGGCTTTAGTATTTCAGTCGGTAACTTGATTTACGTGTGACGCGATGTACTAAAGTTCCCATTTTATCTTCTGATAATATTAAAGTCCTCAGCAAGGAAAGGTTGGAATACGTTGCAAAATAGTTTTTGACGTTTCTCTCTGTATAACCATAAGTTTCATTTAATGTTTACGCGATGATTGAAATCGCTGCAAAGTTAATTAGAGGACCTGTCTATTTTTCCGGAGAAGTAGTAGAATGTCTGGTTACTTTTACAAATCCTCCAAATCCGAGTCATCAAATATCACAAAGTCACAGGTAATATATTTTACTGTATATACCATTCATTTTATTAATTGTCATTTAAATTCGAATGTAACTAGTTTTTATTTATATTTTAATGTTATTGACAGTGATGTTTTCGCGAGTCTGGCATGGGGAAGTGCACAGATGCATTGCCAATGTTCTACAAATGCAAAAATGGTCCTTACGGATAAATTAATCTCTCTCGCAAGACCAGCTGCTATAAATGCAAGTAAGGCAATCTGGATATAAAGATTTAAAGTCATTGAAAACAATGTTTTAGAGACTGTCTTAGCTTTTCCATAGATACAACATTTATTCCATGGGAACTGGATAACGGATATGCTGTAATGAACACCAAACCTAAGATCTTGTTCTGTGACCTTAGATTATCACCTGGCGAGAGTAAAACTTGTAAGTCTTGTATCATTTGTAGTTTTATCATGCTTGCGAACTTTACAATCTTTTCTAGACGTTTATCGAGAGACCATTCCCAGTGATGCTCCACCATCGTACAGAGGACAGGCTGTTAAATATTCTTACAAAATATCATTTGGTACACAGCGGATAAACGACTCCATTAAACTCTTGCATGTACCTTTCAGAGTTCTCTCGCTAAGTGGTAATATCTCATTAATCCACGATGGACTATGATATAAGAAAGTATATCTGATTAACTGTTATACATATCATTTTCAGAGGTGCCTGAAATAACACTATGCAACGACAGCGTTGATCTGAGTCCCAACAATCCTTTCACAGAAACTCAAAACAAAGAAACGCCTGTCGACATAGCCTTGCAAACACTTCAGGTATTAACGTGGTCATTGATTTTTAATTCGTTCGTCAGAATGTATCATATATATTTTCAGAACTTAACAGCGAGACGTAGTCCTAATTTCTACAATGTGACAAACGTTCGAGGTCGAGTTGTCCGGTTTTGTTTATTCAAGAATTCATACAAGTTGGGAGAAGATATCGTTGGGACATTTGATTTTTCAAATGCAACTGTATCCTGTGCTCAAGTTTCTGTTGCTTTGCAGTCCGAGGAATATGTATCTGATGAGTATAAACGAGGCAAATCTTCTGCGCCAAAATTGGTCAGCTATAACAAGCACCATGAAGTCTGTTTGGGTCTTCGCTATTCTCAATTGGTGTTACCGATACCTCTGCACGTGACACCAGACTTTACCACGGATCTGGTTACTCTAAAATGGCGATTACACTTTGAATTTGTAACAACCGTTAAATTAATGGAACTGCCCAACGAGCGTACGATTGATTGGCAAGGACCTTCTTCAATAGACGTGGAAACAATGATTTGGGATCTACCTCTTCACATTCATCCCACAACAACACCTCCAAACACTGCCCCACATACGACGTGTACGTTATCGGTATAGTTCTAACATATACTCCAAAATAAAACATCTTTACAGTTGCTAAACATAAAAATATATTTCTTCTTTACAAACTTCACAATTCAATTAAAACGAAGATTAACAATAAAAAGTGTGTGTTGCGAGCCTCCTTATGTTCCTGAGATATCCATTTAACATTATCATTGCTTAATACATTGACAGTAATCTAGTAGGTAAATAATATCTGATAATCAGATCAGTAAGATGATGCTGCTGGAGAATTTGGTGTCGAAGAAGAAGTTGACATTGACGAAGGGGTATTTCCAGGAGGTAATGGAACTATAGGTGGTAGTGGTGGAAGTGGTGGAGGTGGTAAAGGTGGTGGCTGTGGTATTATTTGAGCTTGGGTGTGCTGTAACGAGAGGGCTGGAGCCAGTTGCGCATGATAATCGTACCGATAGTACTCAAAAGGTTCCCATTGAGGTTCATGAGGTATACCGAGACCAGTCAGTGAGCTTGTACCAGAAGGAGATCCATAGTAGCTCGCTCTATCGGCCATCCCAGGAACATAATTGTACTGTGGTTCCAGCAAACTCTGTAGATGTCTTATATACGTAATGGCGTGCCTGAGCGATTCGATTTTCGAAAGTTTCTTGCCGGGTGGTTTGCAGATTGGAAGCTTCGAGCGTAAAAGTTCGAATGCGCGATTCATGTCGCGCATGCGCGTTCGTTCGCGATCGCACGCAGACTTCTTGTAATCTGAAAAGTGACAGAGTATTATGACACGCCTAATCGTTAAAAGAAAATTGTTCGACGACCGACCAGCAAAACGATATGCCAGACACTAGTAACAATCACCAGTTTCATAAAACAAGCATTTCTCCATCCGATGATTATGGCCATTGCATCCCACGAGGTTGCAAGTTCTTGCAAAAACGTAAGAGTCCACGTTGGCCATATTGGTTGTACCGGTGGTCGTCGTACCTCCGGATTCTCGCAGCTCACCTTTCTCAGTCTGTGAAGGTTCTCTTTGGACAGGCTTTATATTAGTCTCGTGAAGCATTTCCAGATGTGGATGTGGCCCAACTACTTCAGGTTCCGGTACCCTTATTACCAGGACTCCATCGTGAGTCTGAGATTGTTGTTCAAGTGCTGCATCCTGCCATCTTTTTCTTAAAGATTGTCGACGAACTGAACCTACTGACTCATCTGCAACACGTAAATTTTCTCTTATTATTATTATTGTTATTCTATTAGAAATTACCAAAGAACGATCTGGCATTTTTCGCGAGCGAATATCTAAACTGAGATGCTGACCTAGAGCAGGTACGGCAGCGGACGCACCAGATGCTTGATCACGTTCCGTTGTTGATACACGACGATGGTGTCTCTCATGCTGAAGATGAGATTGATGAGGCTGCTGTTGTTGATGTCGATCTTGATGCTGATTCTGCCGATGTCGATGTTGCTGCTTCGTATTCTCGTCTAGATCCAGCAAGACAGGTGACTGTGCGTAATCCTCTTCGTTGCTCTCATTGTCTGACTGAAACAACCCAGACAAAAGACACACAACGCGCACACACTCCCCAGGTTGTCCAAAAATTATGAATTCACGGGCTGAGTAAAAGATTCACGAAGAGCTACCTCGTTCCTTGAAAATTCAGCACGGTACTCGTCGCTCGGCTCCATCGATCAGGAATCAGTTCACTTTTTAACTTTGACCCAGGCAAACACTTCCACCTTGAAGTTCACATAAATATCGAAGCAGACGTCTTCGCGAATTCCAGATACTTCCCAACAAATTGATAAAAAATTATTAACCTATGGCCTGTGCACCACTTGGAAGGTGTCACGTGCGACTAGAGGAGGCGTTTGTCCTGAATGTAGAGGAAAAGATGTAGATCGGACACAGACAGTCGTTATTAATGTTAATTTTATCCGTTTATTAAGTATTCAGGTGTTCGGGCAGAGGTTCTCATCTGCGTTCTCCAATTGGATCATCCACGGGGATCCCTCCGACACGCAACTACGACATCGTAATTTCTCGTTCGCAGGGTCGGATTAGGATTACGTGGAGCCTCTTACCGCGGAGGATTCCAGTAATCGCATAGAACTCATTCACGGGATGTTTCCCTTGGTTCCCAGGTTTCATCAGGTACGTTTCGTAGAGTTTATATTGAGTAGATTGCGGCGTGTCCGTCGAGTGGATGAACAGTTTCTCTTGCGTCTTGTGAATGGCGTCTAGTCTTGGCTCTGGCTATAGTCTGATTAACATGAGAGGCGCTGAGGGATTGGGATAAAAATGGGAATACAAACGTTGGAACATAATAGGCATTCGTTTGATGCTAATACTAATGAGGTGGAACCATATCTATATATGTATAAGGGACAATGGAGAATAGTTCTCGTTGAGCAAGTCCCACGAGATGTGACATACGGGACTCGAGATCGGAATTTAAAGTGAAGAAACTTCTCCATTTCTTACGTTATCTCATATTTTATCTTCGGATATGATTCAAATTAATTCGTGTTTTATCATTTCCGTTAAATTCTCACGATAGTGATGCTTATATTAGAATTACTTATTTTCACTTAATTTTAAACTACATTTTTTATATGATTAATTTCACTTTTATTTTACTTCAAATATTATTAAATAGCTCGTTTAAGATCGGTCGAGCATTGATTAACGTTTTTTTAACGATCTGGATATGACGTTGGTTATTGCACTTGATTGAAAAAACGTGCATTCTGTAGTTTGCGAGAAGTATGACGTAATTGGCAAGACACTTGTATGTTTTTGTAAACTGCTAATATTTGACTCTCGATAATACGACACCGCCTTATCCGATGATTTTAAGATTTTTATTAAATTTATGGATCTGTTAATTTGTACTGTGCTCTGACCAGTTTTCCTTCTTCTTCTTCTTCTTTTTCTTCTTCTCATTAATTCTTATCTCTTTTTCAGACTGTCTCCAATTTTTCTCATCGACCACACACTCACTGGCTCATGTGCATAGAGAAGGAGCAACTGGCGGCAGTGGATAAATCTGAATGGACCATAAGGATGCTGATCAACTTGTCAATGTCTCACTAGTCCTGCTAACCTTATTTTCTCTGACAGATGAGCTACGTAACATCATACTACCGTCGTAACGGCTAACAGGCGTTGTCAAAGTTGGTCTGTTTGAGCCGCTAGAACTGCTGCTGTTGCGTCCATAGCGATCTAAATGGAATTTAATTCAACATGTATATCACGTATGTATACGAAAGTACCAGCAAACTTCAAAAGATTAGTATATACAGGAAAAGAAATGGTAATGTTAAAAATTACTTTTACAGGAATTAATGGAATTATCCATTTAATTTTCTACAACTTCGTACTACAGAGGTAATTGAAAGAAATATTTTTCCATGAAAATATCACTCGTTACAACTACAAGAGATTATTATGTCCAATGAATATTACCCCCACGTGATTACCGTTGAAAACCACTCATATGGCTGTAACGTTTACAGTACATTTGTTTTCCTGTACATTCATTAGCCATGACTCGTATATTTTTAGAAAACAAGAGCGAACAAAAAAGCGTCTACTTACTAAAGCTTGGTGAATAACTATGGCCCATTAAAGGAAGTCGGAGTCTGATAAGCTGCCGGAGGCGACTGATCAATGTTCGCCGTAACTCGTTATTAAAAGCCAAGTAAATCCATGGGTTAACGCAACTATTCAAGCTGCTAAGAAGTGCGAGGATAGTGAAGGTCGTTCCTAAAAGGTGTACGCCATTATTATTTACGTTTATCTCCCTCCACTTATTTACTTTTATCCTTTTTTTTCATATAATTCTTCCTTCCCTCCACCTCCACTTCGTTTGGATGACCAAGTGGAAATGTTTTTTAACCACTTTCTTCTATTCATTAACTCACCACTGTAGAATGGCGATGACGATGCTTGTGGGTCCCAACTGGCCCACAGTTGACAACCAATGAACGGACTGCTGCATATTATATAAAGACTTATGACAGCTATAGTCTGTTTCAAGGTATTAATTCTTGCCCTCGATATCAAAAGTGTTCGATTTCGAAAATGATTTTGATTTTTTTCCAGGAGACTGCCATTGGCACCAATTTCTGTCAATCCATCGACATTGCTGTTTCTCCAGATTCCCATGCATATACCAGTGTACGTATATAAAAGAACGCAAAGAGGCAACAGGAAGACAGAAAAGCTGTACCTGCAGGCAATTAAAATAAACATATACCAAAGTCCAATTATATTGCATCACTCATACTGTTCCTTCTTACCAGGTGACATATGCTTGTTCTCCATACGATAGTTCAAACGTGGCCCAACAGTCAAAAACGCCTGGCATCACTTCCTGATACGAGAAGACAAAGAGCTGACCACACAAAGGACAAAGTTCTAATGAAATATCAATGCTAAATTAGAAAGCCACTCAAAAAGATTGACATACCTGTGGCGTGCAGAATGTAAGTGCGATGACCCATGCGCAATAGACCATCACTCGTGATTGCCTAGAGGTCGTTCCACAATAACTAAGTGGGTAGCAGATCGCGTGATATCTGTCCAGGGCAGTCACGGTTAAGACGTAGGAGCTCAGATAAGGACCCAGTGGTTGGCCATATTTCACCAGCTTGCATAGCAAAGCTCCTCCTTGAAATCTTATGGAAGCAACTTCGTTAGGTCGGTGCTAACAATTGTCGCACCTAGTGAATATTCACTGTGTCAGGATAACGTGGAGCAGACCAACCTGAAGGTGATGTCCCAAGCTAACTGGGGCAAAACGCTGAACAACCCAGTGAGAAGATCAGCTATGCTTAAATGTATTATGAAGAAATACATTCGGGTGAGCTTTTTCTTACTGATTGAGTACCTTCGAAGGTAAAGAGCAAAAAGAACAAAAATATTGCCAACGAGGGTGAGCGCCAGGATGCTTGAGAGTGTTGTGATTTCCCACTGTGCCAGATACTCATCCCTGGTGTCTTCGTTCACTTCTTCAAACGTTTTATTCACCAGAGCCATCGTGCTTGCGAAATTTCTTCGACTGCGTTTCTCTTTCCGATCTCAAGCTTTGTGACAGTTTATACGAAATTATAAGCACTTCTCGGTATTGTAATCACTTAAAGGATACTCAAAGGCACTCGAGGAGGCACTTCACTATGTGTCGTCGACTTTACGCGCTTCGCAATGCACACCCAGCGTCGTCAACCTCTTCATGCTTCCGTTCAAGAATCGAATATTCATGGCTGCTTTCTATGAATAACAACCAGCAGTGACATCGGATTCACGACGATATTACGTAATTTAAACCGAACAGAGATTTATTGTATTTTTTTAATTTAAAAAAAAATTTAATTCACTTTTCAATACTAAACACACCTAGTACTGGTTTAAATGTCACTGTTTAACGTCACTGGGAACAACAATTACTACAGAGCCACACTTAAATTTCTTTTAACTGAAGCTTTTGGCTGCACAAAATAGTAAGGCAGAGCGCAGCTTTAAAAAGACGCCTCGGTTGATGAGTACAAGAACAAGGAAGATGTATAGCAGGAAGATGTTGAAAGAGTGAAAGAAAATAAGAAAGAGAAGCTGTTATAAGAATAAGGAAGAATTAAGTTAGGTAGGAGGCTCGAATCTTCGTTGACGTTTCAAGGATTAATGGGTACGCGAGATCTGTTCACGGTGTTTGCGTCGCGACGCTGCGTCCTGTTCTGCGATAAAGAAGAGACTTTGAGCTCAGCCTCGGAATCTCATAAATAATTATTTTCGAAATATCAATTACCGATGAAATAAAAGCCTATAACACAGACGCATTGCCTACTGGCAAATATATGCTCAAGTACGATTCGCGTGCGTATCTCAACTTTGAACGTAATTAATCCATGTCCGGCAGCATTTGGCAAATAATCTTAATAATGCCAGAAAAACAACAACATTCGTAAGCATGAGAGGGCCGCGTGAACGTCTGCTAACTCGGTATGTAACCGATGACCCAAGTCGTCATCGGCTACCTGGATGCGCACACATGAGCGCAAGTGGACAAGCGCGTGTCGCACGTGTCATCCTGGGTAGAAAATAATTTCTGTATTATTTATGAACTTATTATACAAATAATTGATTAATGATTTTACCAAGATTTATTATTGAAACGACCGCAGCACGCCTCTAATTAACAACCTACGAGTATTTGTAATACGTGTATGTAATAATATGTATATGTTAAATTGTCTTACTGTGTAATATTGTCTTACGCGTTGCTTTATGCAAGTTCACTTGCAATACACTCTGCCGGTTGCATTCGAATTTTTTGAATTGCAAATCAGTCCAATCAAATGGGCGGTACGCCCCAGGTGGGTCAAGAAAATGTCTGCGCTCTCATTACATCAACTCATTGCCAACTTCTTACAATACACAGTACAGCTGTGTATTGTTGCACTTTTATCTCCTTCTCCGTTCTGTTATTTCCTTTTGATCCCCTCCGAAGCGGTCCTTCTTGCTTCCTCTTCAGTACCCTCCATGCCTGCCGTTAAACAGTGTCTCCCTCTTATGTATCCCGGTACTGATATTTCTAAAGAAATCTCGTAGTGACAAAAAAGGAAAAAAAATACTATGGAAGTTTACCTTGTCGATGGTCAGGAGAGGGGACAATAAATCACACGACAACCAAAGCGAATGCGATTCCATTTATTCTTTCGTTATCCAGTCATTGCTCTTGATTACTTGGAAGCACGGGTCTTGATCCTAAGAATAACATTATAAAGAACATTCAGATAATTGAATTACGAAAAAAAAACGTGGGTGACCGTTGGTAGATGATACGTCAGAATCCCCATTTATGTAATTATTATCAATAATAAAAAAGAGCAAAAAATAGAAAATTTTACTAAATTATTGTCAGTTACAGATAATGATCAAGCTTACCGTTCGCCGTTATTCCAAACTATCTAGGGAGGAAACATAGTCGCGTATGGTAGGCTTACAGGTCGGTAACATAAGGGAAGGTTACAGATTCTAAAGTATTGTTAACCTCAATTCCACAAATGGTTCACTAGAACTCTCTGATGATCCTGTGTTGTCCAGGACAATCCTTTTCTGTAAGTAAATAATAACAGGGCAAAAAGGAACTCAAGCGAAGAATCGTTTGATATAGTCTTCCTTATCGACGGAAGAAAGAACTGTCGAACTATGGCAAAGAATTTGTCTTGCAACAGCAGAAGACAAAATCCGATTATACTTACATGTATCCGCATCCAAGATGTACGTACCTTTACCGGAATTCTTAAAGTTTCGTGATTGGAACGTGGAGTCATTTAAAACTATTGGGCGATCTACCGTGAAAGATATTCACGAAGAAAACGCCTATGACAGCCATACTGTGTTATAGGAAAGAACTGAAGTAAGCTCTTGCATGCTCATTCAATTTAAATACATAAAATAATGCATGAAACGGTTGTTTGTTCGAAACAGTTCGCGTCGAGGAATCTGTCGCCCGTTGTATACTGTCAACACTGCCCGATTGCGTGTAATGCCCATTAGGAATTCCATAGTACAGCAGTAATACAACAACGCAGGACTAGTAACCGTCACAATACCGCAGTAGCTATGGCTCGACTGTTTTAGGTTATTTAAAGCGGCGGGGTGCGGGGAGCGATGAGATACGACGGTGGAAGGGATAATCCGAACTGTGTAGCTACGCCGCTACAGTAGAAAGTTCGTAGACGTTATTCATAAAACTGTCGGGCAGAATACGAAATTTGATAATACGAGCTGCGCGTCGGCACGATTTATTCCGTATAAATCGGAAAGTTTGAAGGATCGGTAGGGGAGTGTCCTGACGATAGAGTAGATACCTGTTTCTCCTCTGGTTCTTTTTTCCGGAACCTACACTCAGCCGTCTTTTTTTCTTTATTATACCCATAGTCAGAATATTCGGACTTTCGCTCGGTGAGGCAAAGCCCCAATAAATATTAAATAGGTTATACTTCAAATTGGTTTTAAGCCAACGTGTTGCCAACGAACTGACGCTTTGGTATTGATCCTTTTTTTATGACTACTTTTTTATCCTTTTACTTCCTTTTCTTCAACTCCTGTCTCATTTCATTTTCCCTTCCCTCTTCATTTGTTCATCGAATCACACGATATCTGGACATCCATCCCGAGAGGAGCATCCGATTGCGATAAATATTTTCATTGAAGTGTCCGGAGTGTCGGGAGGTGAGAGTTGACAGGGATAATAAAGGAGGCGATGGCCACAGTAGCAATGATGGTGGTGGTGGTGGTGGTGGTGCTGGTGGTGAGTATAGTAATACCGAAGGGAATCCGATAACGAAGAGTCACTAGCCGTCAAGCGAGCGAAGTAAATCTGTCGCGTTCGCCTCGATCGGGTTTCTTCCGATAGTAAGACAAATGGCGGATTTGTCGTCTTTAGCGTAAGAGACGTTATAGAGGTTGTATAAGATATAGATGAAGGGATCCGTCATATATATATATTTTTCTCGTTCAAACGCAATAAACCCGTTATCATTGTCCTTGTTCTCCTTACCGCCATTACCGGCCATTAGTGAAGTACAGTTTGGCATGGTTGGTATAGAGAAAGGAAAGAGAAAGAAAATAATAAAAAAAAAGGGAAAAAGAGGAGGAAGTGATGACCCTGCAAAGAAGCTTCATAAAATAAATTACTATGTGGCTCACGTATATCTTATAAGGATTAAGTTAGAGGAACGCAGGGGCTCGGCGGCGTCGACAACGACGACGGAACTGTTACCGCCAGCGGCTTCTATCTTTATGACGAGCCTGATGAGGCGACAAAAATCACGCCTTCCCTCTTTTCTTTGGCTTCTTTCCTCCCGCTAATAAAGTAATAAAGCTATCTTTGAGGGGGGAGCATACGCGCGCTTCGTAAAAATTGCACGACCGTCCCGTACTCGTGGCGATTTGATCTGCTCCTTTATTTTCTGCTGCTACGTTTGACTACCCCGGCTGCAGGGGGGGGGAGGCAGGGGGGGACAAAATTTTTTATTCTCCTCGGTCATTTTAGCGTCGCGAAAATTCATGTGTCTGACAAACGTCTGCCTTCCTGACTCCTCTTTTTTGGGAAAAAAAATTAATTATTTTTTTCTTTTTCAACGGTCAAAGCTCTTATATTACATATAACGTAAAGTACGGTTACTATCAAGTGAAATGAATTTTCGAAAACACGATTCAGAATACGGAAATTAATTATGGAATAAAAGAACATAATGAATTTGTATTCTGGTCTTTCGTTGGATAACGAGGTTCGGTATTTTTCGTTGAAATTAATTGTTAAGAGAGAGATGTGTAATTTTTCAGACTGTGGAAATCGGATAAGGTGAGATGAGATGAAATGGAAATGAGATGAAGACTGTGGAGCGAAGTCGAAGTTACGTTGGCAACGCAGCCTCCGCCTTGCTCGTTCCCCATTTTCCACCCTCGTCAAACACAAAATTGTAATGAATATTTTTATTTTTAATGAGATATTTCAAACGACCCAAAGCACGCGGGATAAGTATTTAATAAGATATAATTAACGGCAAACAGTGAGCGTCGGCGCACAGTGGCGAAGAACGTGGGCGACGAGGATGGCGAAGAAAAAGATAAAACAAATGAGAAAGACAAATGTTAACAGCTAAAAGAAGAAATCGGCTCAGCCCTCTTTTCCTCGTCAACTCGTCGCTACACCTATTCAGCAGCATCCACCGGATGAGATCAGCATTGATTTCCGACGCTCGAGATTTTTTGAGTCAGGAACTCAATTGCGTCTGCCGAGCATTAAATTCAAAGTTCGAATGTATTTTAAAGAATTTCAAAGATCCTCGACCCTGACTACAAAATGGACCAGTAAGATTGACGACCTTGGTCATAACTTTGAACGAGGTTAAATTACTGAAAAAAAGTTCGACCCTAGAAGGATACCAAAATTTGCTTGAATCTCGCGTCAGCCAAAAATGATCTTCACTCCCGAAACAATAAATCCGCCTGATATCTTCACGTTTATGAGACGGAGGATAGGGAGCACTGTACAGGAGGGTACGAGAATGGAGATGACGGCGAATGGGGTTAGGGTTAGGGTTGAGTGAGCCGGGCGAAAGTACAAGGACTAGCCCAGAGACACGCGAGCCAACGAGAGAATAGATAAAGACGAGAAAGTGGCGCTGTAATTTCGCGCTTGGCAGGACAGCAAGACAAGATCTAGGAGGCAGAGGAACCAGCCCCAAAGCCCAGGCTCCCACCAGGTCCGGCAAAAAATAACCTGGAATCTCCGAATCGTTTAATTCGTACCTTATACCCAGGAGTCTGGAATCCTTCCACTTTCCACTCCGGGATCCCAGCGTTTTCCCGCATTCGCGAAGGGTCCTCGAGTACAAGTCCTTTCTTAATTCTTAGCCTCCCCCACTCTTCTCCTTACCTTCCATTTCCTTCGTCTCCCTTTAACGAGGTTCTCGCTGAGAAGTTTTATATCTTTGTCACTTCGTCCTTCTCGAATTTCATGAATTTATTACAGTCCAGCAAACTTATGTATAACGATATTAGATACTTTTTATACGGCAGACACTCGATACGTTCATTTAGCTAATTCATCGTTAAATTGATCCTGTTATTAGTTTCAGGACAGCCTATCTCTCTCTCTCTCTCCGTTGCCAGGCAGAACCGAGTGACTTCGTCTCTCTCGCTCGCCTCTTCGGTCCGATACATTCTCCAAGAGTGAGTAGCCCTCAGTACCAGAGGATGATATCAGGATACTTCATCCTCTGTGCACACTGCTCTGTGCATCTCTGTCTGTAGGGAGATCAGCGCCACGCTGATATACACTCTCCGCGTACCCCACCTACCAGCATCCAATCAATTCCATCGAATGGGATCGGACGAACGGATGAAAAACCTTACTAATAATATCAAGCCAAACTGGGAAACAATGCGCGTATGAAATACTCCGCTTGTATCCACAGTCGAATTTGTTCAGATCCGACTGATTGTTATGTGAAAATAGTGAAAATGAGTGGCGAGTGCCGTTGGCTGTGCTATTACGTCAAATTGAAATTGAAAATTGTCAATTGGGGATTGACTGACCGGGCGGCCATTGGTCATTCCCAGTTACGGGATTGTATGAATTTAAGTATGGCGTTGCTAGCGGTAACGAGAAAATAGAGAGGAACTGTGTTGGAATTGGAGAAGATTGGAAGACGAGAAGCCGGATCAAAGGAACTTTGAGAATTTGAAGCTTGAATGGTACTTAGTCTAAGAGCGTTGGTAAGGATAATTCTATTGTGAAAAATCTATACGAAAATAAAACTCTATCCTGTGAAGTCCCTTGTAGCTTGATCCAGGCAGCATCCCGTCTCGAGCTCTCGACGTCTTCGGATCCCGGGATGGAATCCTTGAAGGAACTCCCAGGGCACCGAGTCCTCTTACGAGTTACGGCATACTTGGAAATTCATGGCCGGCAACTCGGACGGAAGAATGGAGCAATTAATGGGCGTCATGAGTCTTCCTCGAAACGTGTCGGACCCCGAAGCACTTTCAATAGAAATCCCGTTTTCGAGAAACGTGCTTTGACTGGCCGATCTCTATTTTTATCTAATTCCGAAACTATGATCCTTTTCGATGATTTATAATTTTTTTGGGAAATTTTACTCAGGTTACGTATATTAACCAGGGTTCAATTTAATTATCAGTATAAAATCTAGTGCCGAGTCACTCGGACTATACGAGTATTCGAAAGCGAGCTCTGGAAGCCATATTGAATATTCAAAAGACAAAAAATGAATTTAAAAATCAGACGTCATGAGAAACTACAGTGTAAGAGTATCTTGACGAAATTTAAGAGGGAGACGATAACGAAGCATGAGATACAGGAAACCCCGGGCCCGATTTCGAGGCACGCTCCTGTCCTGTGACTTCCCAAAGGAGAGCTAACGCGTTAAAGAAAACGTTTGTGGTTGTCGAAAAGGCGACGAGGGATTCGGTTTGTAGTTGAGGGATGCGCGGTGTAGTCGGTTACCGGGGGATGTAAATCGCGTTAGGGGAAAAGGGGAGTCGTTTCCGTTTCCCTTCGTTAGTCAGCTTACGTTCGGCCTCGCCGACTCGGCTGATTCACTTGCAAATAAGATCGATTATATCGGACGCGAGGTGACTCCCAATCGTAGGAATTAAAATGTTCCCTCGTTCCCTCGTTCGGCCCCACAGCCCTTATCCATTCCCACCCACTCGCCATTCCTTGCACACGGAAGAAGAAGAGAAAAAAATCCTCGCGCCGCTCGATTAAACGCGATTACATTTCCGACCTGACGTCCCTCTCGACCCTCCTGGAAACCCTCTAAAACGTCACGCAGTTTATTCTCGCGACTCTCGCTGCCTATTCATCCCCCGGACTATCTCAATTGGGATTAACGCCTCTTTGTCTCTCCTATTCCTTTCTCAAGGTGAAACGAAAGCCCGCCATAGGAGCTTAGGCATTCGGTTTGGCCGCAGCCCACAATCAACAGAGTCAAACGGAGTCAAAGGGATGGTAGGGAGACGGTAAAGGGATGCCAAGAGGCAAAGCAACTGGAAACAAGGAATGCGAGAGTTTGCCCGTAAGTACGGTGTGGTAATAGTGGTGGGGATGCTGATGGTAGTACCAGTAGCCGTGGGCAGTGTTCGCCTGCCGTGATTAATCTACTCATTTGTCAGCCGCGCTTATCCTATCCAATCCTCTGCTGGCCCGGTACTCTTCTCTTTGGTTCTACCGTTCTTCGCCGCATTGCTGACTAACCATGGACGACTGTGGATCAAGGAAGAGACTGGATAGAATTTTGTATCTGTTAAAAAAAAATGTTATTCTCTTTTTCTCTTTGTGTCCTTGATAACTTTTTTGGTTAAACAGCACTGACTCGATACGATAACTTTAGTAGAAGAAAACGATAGCTCGATAGTCATTGGCCGAGGTATTAGTGTCAAGGAAATCAGTAGAGTCGATGGTGGCGCTAGCGTCGGTGCTGTTGCTTCGATGCATAGTACGCGGCAAGGCTCGCCGGTAAGCGTTGACTAGCGTTGACTAGCTATGGGCTGCACGGACAGCGTCGCGCTAATGGTAATCGATCTGCGCGAACTAGTGATTAGTGTGTAATCGAATAAGGTCGACCGATAACCGATTAGCGATTACCGATAGCCATTCTGCTCCGGGATAAATTGGTAGGCCGCTCAAAGGTTCGAGCCTCTCACGAGCTCGTTACGTACAGACTTGCTGCACGAGGATAACATACATCTTTATCCGACAGGTTAGGTAGGTTCATGTCCACCTCTTTTCGTTTTATTTCATCTTGTTGCCAACCTTCCTTCATTGCCAAATTCTAAATCTATAAAAAATTGATATTACGTCACTGTAAATTTTTTATATTTTTTATTTTCCTAAAGCCACTTATTATTTCACACAATCTTAGACCTTCCATGCACGTCAACGCGATGGGCGTTAAGCCAAAGAGAATAAGGCAAATGGCAGTAATGGAGATGAAAGGAGATTGAAGGGTTGTAATTTCAGTTCATTATTTCTCCGTGCTTCCAAAATCGTGAAGAGTCGTAGCTTACGGGTGTAGACGCCTCGTTGAAGTAACGTAGATGGAAATGCCATTTCTCTTTTACGGCTGGCTCACCCAACACTACAGTTTCTCTTCTGCTTCCTTACCGCTGGAGCGCGAGAGCACGCGATTTGAAATTCAACGATGCCGGACAGTAATTGGCTGCCCTGTCTTTCAGATAGTCGAAAGGCCTGGAAGTTAAGAAGTCAGAGACGGTAGGTTACGCAGAGAATTGAGATGGGTGTCATGGGGCCCAGAGGTAGCCCCCGTGCCAGAGAGATGCCAGGGGTGCAGGGTGCGCCACCAGTCGATCCAGACTTGCGTAATTCGTTGGGGGGAAATACGTGCTTTTTCATACGACACGGAGGAAGAGGATCGATTCGTCCGACGTGAGGAAACGGAGGTTAGGAACGCTCAGAAGGAACTAGCAGCCGTGACGGATGAGGTAATGGCCGAACTATGTAGTGTCTCGCAAAGGTAGTCACCTGGTGCTTGCGTATACGTTGCCTTCATTTTTCTACTCTCTTTCGTCCGTCCTTCTCTTTGCACTTTTATCCATCGCGGATATGGCTCGCTCCATCTCACTCACTCTGGAGTCACCCTGTTCCCAGCTCGACCCGTAGCACTCAGCAAACGTTCCTGTAAATAACTTAATGGAAAGATCAAATATCGACGTTACGTCAGCGCAGCCACCTTCCCGGTATCCTGTAGCCTCCCCTTCTATCAACCCCCTTATCCCCTTCCGGGCCTCATCCTAAGACATGGTACCCGGCACGATACTAACCTGGTCTCAGTCCCGTCCTTTCTCATCATCGGCCCAAGTTCTCTTCTTTATCCTCTGGTCGGATTACCTTTAATCATCTCGTGTAACATCGTCTTGTAAATATTCAAAAGTTTGAATTAAATGCTTTGTTACCCTTGACAACCTGATACAAGAGTGGACATTATTTCTGAAGTGAGTAGACCGAGGGCAAGGATCTTCCAGGAAGTTTTTTTTTCATCAGGTTGGCAGCGACACTCGCTAGTTCAGTCCGGGTGATGGTCGAATGTGGTCGAGGGTGATTCGGCGTGATTCAGTGGAAGCTATACAAGACCGCGTAAAGTCAGCCAGAGTCACGATACTCCTCGTCCTCGAGGTAGCAGCTGTCGTTTATCGGCTTGGCACCCTCGCCACCCTCTTTCAAAGGACTTTCTTTCTTGTTTTCATAGAATTGCTCCTTTTCTTATTCCAGTTCTTCCCCGTATACCTCTTTCCCATTTCCTTTCTTCATTTTACCTACCCTCTAATCTTCCTTTCTTTCCTCCTGACTTCTGCTTGGTCCAGGGTGCAGCTGTTGTACAACGGGAAGTCAAGTAATACTTTTATCGTTCGTTGCGGTTCTTGTTCCTGGTGTTCGGTTCCTCTGCGAACGAAAACCTAGACCCGTCACTGTCTGCTTCCTCATCCTCGTAACGTTATCGTTATTACACTTTGATAACGAGTCAATGTTTACGTATACCTACTCAACTGTGAATCCCGTCGGATTCATTTTATTTCCACCTTCAGCGAGGGACGTTACTGTCTTTACCTTCTGTAACCTATTTTTCTTGAGCTTCTTTACCATCGGATCACTTTACTCTCTCGGACCATCGCCCATTCGATTATTCTCCCAGAAGGAAATATCTACAGAATCTTCTTTCAGGATGAAAACGAAATAAGGAAAGAAAATGGACGGGTGAATGGGATGAGGATGAAGCGGAGTGGGAGAGGGGGGGGGGCGACAAGGATGGAAATATGTCGATAAACGGAGAAAGTTTCCTCATCGAGGAGAGAGAGAGAGAGAGAGAAAAAAGAAAGAGAGAAAATTGACGGGCAGTGAATAGTAGTAGATGCCCAGCATCCCTACATCCCTGTATCTCGCTATCCCAGCATCCCGACCGCTCAGGACCACCGTGTCGATACACAACCACCCCGTTGTACCACCCCTGCTGTGTTAGCAGCGCGAAGCGTCGCGACGCTCCTCCGGCTCTACGCTAAAGCTGAAATCCTCACGGGTTCCAGGGGTCGTCGTGACGCGGACGTAGAACGTGGACGTCGACACGGACGCACACGGATTTGATGGTGTGGGTATAGGCATCACACGAGATGGGTTGGGATGGAATAGGATGGGATGAAATGGAATGGACCAAGGCTTGGGGCAACAGATAGAAAGATAGGTAACGTGGACCAGCACTGGGAAGGATGTTTGAAAGTTGGCCAATAATGGCAGAGTCAGTTCCACGCGGAGGATGCTTCTAGTTCGCCAACTTGTATCCCGGCCTCGTCCATTTCTCTCGACGTAATCTTTCGATTTATTTAGTTATTTTCCTGCGGTATCGAGTGCGATACTAGACAGCATCCCTACTTCTAGAAAGTTCATCGTGCTGATCTCGGCCTGTTTCGCCATTTGATTGGGGCTACGTCGCAAATATACGAAGGGTAACGAAAGATTAGCTGCTGTCAGCGTACATCCCTATACCATATACTATACGTGTATTTACTGTTGTTACGGTATAGGCGGAAGTATCACCTTCCCGGCGTACAGCATCCAGTGTCATCTGGTGTGACAGTATTTTCACCTAGAGAGTCAATTACGCCCACTTCAATATTATAAGTTGTTAATTCGTTACTTACCTTGGTTAGGTTCGCTAAATTTGGTATCTTAGTGTAGATATCGCAGTGACGTAGCAACGAATCAGAGAACCCGTAGCTTCGGCGAGCCCCCCCCGTTTTTTGACTCGAAGGGTGCTTTTAGCATTTACGAGAAGCGCCACGGAAGCTTCGGTCGTTAACGATTAAGGCATATCTTTTACCTGGATCGTGAAAATTGAGGGAGAAGGTGAAATAAGGGCGTTAGCTGTGGCCTGAGGGTTGAAATAAAGCGTCGTCATTTTGCACAATTATATCTTACCGTTGCCGCGTGGCCGCTAAGGGTTTCTGTTCCACCCCCCTCCAACACCCTCTTGTACCACCACTACCACTTTCTCTCCATTATTCTTTTTTTTTTTCTTTTCCTTTCTGTACCAGGTCTCACATCTCCTCTTATTCCAAACGGCGCCTTATACACCTACTTCGCTCTCTGTACAGGGTGACCCTGGATAACGCCTCTCTTTACCTTTGACCTTTACCTCCATATTCTTTTTTCCTATGTTTTTTCTCTCTCGTTCCTTCATTTCTACCTGTTTACTCTTCATCCGATAGCTATTTCAATGTTGGGTATTTTCTGTTGTTTTTTTGGTCGATCGATCACGCGCTGTGATTTCACACCTCGGCCCCGTTAAATTTGGAGGTTCAAGTGGGTACATTTTTTTACATTTCATTCAGACGTATCACCCTGTATATGCAGGGTTGAGAAGCTGTCATTAGTTTTCGCGCTGATTCCAAGGATAAAACACGACGACGCGTCGACGCGGTGGTACCGAGGGGAGAATAAGACGTATTTCAGGCCAGACGGACGATCCATAATTATCATAATGACTGGTACCAACCCTTAGCTTCTTCTCAACCCTCTGGTCTCTACTTACTGCTACCTCCCTTGACGTTCATAACGATTTCGTTTAATTACGGGTAGGTACGAGAGGGGGTCCCTGTAAGAGCTTTTACCATTCCCTCTGGTATATCCAGTCGTGCGATACTCACTGATACTCTCTCGCTTCCTGTTCTGGTCTCTCCGTCTCTCTTTCTCACTCGCACGCGCACACACGCACTCCCTCTTCCTCGAGAGAGGTACTCGCTCTCGTTTATTTTTGTTTCGTCGACGGTACGCAATGTCTCGATTCGTCGCGATTACGTGCTCGGTGAAAAACGAGAACTGTAATTCACAGAGATGCTAGGTGGTATTAGAGCTGGGGCTGATAACTGGATGCTGGAGAATTGCTGGTAGAGTCTGTAAGAAGGAATCTTATAAGTCGGAAAGGAACATGATTACTGGTTGGCTGAGGGTGGGAAGGTGGCTGTCTCTTGAAGGAGCTGTTTCGCGGTAATAGCGCGTTCACGGTCCGCTCGATAATTTCGTTGAACCGACCAGGACCGAGGATCGAGGAAGTGGGGTTGAAGAGGAGGGTCCGTCAAGAGGAGCCCGGTAAGTGCGATCGGATGACAGAGAAAAGAGTCGAAGGACGGGGATGCTGAAGAACGGGTGGCAGGATCCTGAAATCCTGGGGTCGGAAGAGGAACGCGAAGAAGAGGAGATACGAGAAGATTCAAAGAGATCGGGATGAGGATGGGGCCAGGGAAGAGTGAGGCTGGAAACTGAGTGAAGCGGACACCCTACGATATACCAGGACCGAATATGTCGCTCCAGGGAAATAAGGGAGGAGGAAGAGGGCGGCGCGCTGAGGTGGGTTTCATTTTCGTACTCTCACTCTTCTTCTCTATGCTTTTTTTCTTTCACTCTCTTTGTCATTCTAGCTCTCTCCTACTCACGGCACCTGGCCCTTGTAACCATCGAGCGGAACCCTTCGCCGGTGTGTTTCCACCGTGGCGTTCCCAGCGTCGTCGACGTCGCCAGCGTCATCAAGGACAACAACGCGTGTCTGGCGTTGCCTGGGAAGTTTGAAATTTCAAATTCATTTCTCGCCTGTGCTACCGAGTTTTAATCCGCTTTAATTATTTAAAAAATCCTGAGGCTCGGTCCTTCGTTCTCAACAGCACGTTTCGCTGTTGTTCGACCAGTTTTCCCATCCGCCATCGGAACCGTGTACCTCAAGCTACGCGTACTAAGCTGCGGCCTGAAGAGCCCTCGAGCTGTCCCTTCGTCCGACTGAGGGTGCAATTCTCATTGACAATAATTTTTATCAATTTATCCGAAAGTTTCTCCCTTAAAGCCTTTTCTCTTTCCGTCCTGTTACTCATCTTCGTGATTCTCCTCGAATTTCCCAATCTTATCGCGATCGGACTGTCTCCGAGGTCTCCTCAGGGCACGACGTTCCTGCTCTCATTCGCCTCCTCTTCTTTCGCCTCTGCAGGAATGTTCCCCATGAGGACATTTTCTTCGCTGGCACGCCCTCTCTGATCATCCGCGTCCTCCTCGGAGGGGTCTCGACCGAAAGACAGTTCATCGACCGAAGCGCTATTGACCATTCTCTCTTTTTCTCGATAGTAGCTTTGTCTGTGACCTTCGCGGCGCCTCAGTGCGTTGTCTATTTCCGAACGACGTCCTTCACCCTCGTGAAGAATCTTACGCCAATCAAAGGCATGCTTATAAGGATGCTTTCGAATCGTAGCCAGTCCTTTAGCTTGACACTCGAGAAATTCATAAATGTACTCCTCCTCGATGCTGCTGAACTGCTTATTCTGTTAGATCAATAATTATCATTCATCGAGTCTAGACCAATTTGTAACCCGAGAGACTTTACCTCCTGGTCAATTAACTCTTTCAGATCATCTTGAACCTTTGACTCTCCCTGGATACCCGGAGTTGGGAGGCTGGGCAGCACCACGGACTTGCGCTCTTGGTACTGCTCCGGGAAGAGGAAAGTGACTGTGTCCTCGAAGATTTTATCTTGAAGCTGTACGGCCTGTCGTATCTTCTTCTTCTTCATACGTGCATCCTGACGCATCTTCATCACCGGTGCGCGTCTTCTCTCTAATTCGTCTTCCTTCAGTCCCTTCTTCTCCAGGATGACCCTCTGCATACGTCTCAGTTCCATCGACTTCCAACGTTCTTTGGCTTCTTCCAAGAACTGTCCTGACCTCGGACCCTGTCGAAATTATCATCTCGTCTTTTCATCTCGCTCCAATAACGCTTTTACCTTTTCTTTTTAATTTCCTTACTTAAATCTCTCAACTGCAGTTTAGTACGTACTCTAATGGCTGAGGCTCTCGCCGCCGCCCGAGCTGCCGTCTCCATCATTTCCGCCCTCAATTTCTCTTCTGCCTCAATCCGCTTCCTCTCATCCTCCTCTTCCGCCAACTTTTTCTTCATCTCAATGTTCTCGACATTCGTCTCGTTCCACTGACTCTGCCACTCTTTGAATTCGCGCGTCTGCGAACAAAGTGTTATTAGTCAATATCGCCGGGAAGTCCAAGAGACGAGGGCTACATTCAGGTGCTCACCCTCTCGACCTCTCGGTCAACGAAACAGCGCATCCAGTTGACATCGGCGTCAGTGTAAATGAGCATAAGTCGTGGAGCATAAAAGACCCTAAGAGTGCCATTGTAATCGCAAAACCCAACGCACTGCGGGCTCAGGTAAAGCTCGTGTGTGTAGATGCCAGTTATTATGCTCCCGGAAACACTCTGAGTAAAACTAGGCTCCTGACTCGTCACTATGAGGTCCCAAATCTCTATGGTACCATCGCTACGTGCCAAAATTAGAACGGTTGGCCGAAATGTCCCCCAAGAGCATGCCGTGTACCTGCTGGTATAAAAAGCAAAGTTTAGATTTAATCAAACAAAGTCAGATCCTCTGCAATAAATAATTACCTCAAGTTGGACTTCCTCCAGAGGACGGGGTCGTCAGCATCTTCGCGCCAAAGTGCAAACACCCTACCGCCAACTGTAAGGATGACGTCCGCAAGATACTTTGACTTGACTGAGTGCGTAACGGGACCGTCATGGATCTTGGACCAATTCTTCCAGGTGCATTGTTCACGATTGATGGCTACCCCAGTAGTGAAATCGAAACCTTCCCAAGTGACCCGGGCGCAGTCACCCTCGACAGTCCCCACAAAAATCTCCGGAATCATCTCATGATCTGGTTTCTCGATTATGCTTTTGTAGTACTTGCGCACCGTGATGTCATTCCGGCCAACGGAGACAGGACCGACGCACACCTTACGTATAGGTGGATTATGCAAATCCATAGTCGTAACGACGGCGCGATGCAACTCATCCGGATACTGAATCACCAGGAGATAGTCTGGTTTGAAGATTCTGTCTAGGACCTTGTACGGCGAAATCGTCTGCGTCAGTCTTGATGGTCTTCGCACACCCTTCTTCTTCGTCGTCGCTATACCCTTTTTCCCTCTAGGTCTATCCTGATTCGCTCCAGGCTCATGCTCTTCTCCGTCAGCAGGTCGCCATCTACATCAAGGGTTTATAATTTTTTCCACTATCACTTCCTGTTTAGATTCATGCGAAACTAGCTTGAGGTCCCAGAAGGCTATTGTCCCATCCTCACTGGAGGTGATGAACTGCCAGGTCAGTTCGTCCTTTGGTGTATCCTCTGGCAAACTTTGTACCCGGCCATTCTTATCAACCTTATTGTACAATGGTATCCAGACGATCTCGGTGATGGCCGCCTTTTGACTGTATCTCAGAGAGGACATTGCTGCTGGACGAATTACAGTGGAACCTGTAGACTCCTTCATCCACTTCATCAAACTTCTCATCGCTATTCTATACCTCACCTGGGCTGTGGTGTGCACTACCACAGCTTCAACTTGTTCGATCTTACCCGGAATATTCCAGATTCCTATCTGCATTAAAAATATGTACACTTTCTTTTTTACTGATAAACTTAACATGTTCCAGGAGGTACCTGACCGTTCGCACAGCCTCCGATGATGACGTTCCCGTCTAGGGGACAAATGCTCACGGCAGTAACTTCTCTAGGTGACTCAAGAACAAGTTTCGGCGACAAACAGTCGCTGAATGACCAGATCAGCACCCGGTTACTCTCATGGCAAGCTCGTATCACTTGATCATCGGTAACCTGACCGACAATGTGCTCACTCTTTGCGTGATCGGTGTAGGTAGCTGCTGCGATTCCAGTCCAGAGCGGATGCCAGCACAAGTCATTGATCACTTTATCAGTACTGTATCTCCCATCCGAGTAGCTTTGATGCTCCGTATACTTTATAGATACAGGTGGCAAAGTGTCTCTCTCAGATTGCGCCAGGTCTGCATAGTCATTTATGTAGATGTCCCAGTGGGCGTTAACCAGCACCTGCAGTAACAACACTAGAAATTCTTAAAAGATCAGGTCGCAGATATCCTAGATGACCCGAAGGAACGTACCTCGTCGCACACCTTCTCAACGTTACTTTCAAGGAACTTGTTCATACTTTCTAGCTGAGTATCGTCGTATCCTTCCCAAACAAAATCATATTGGTACTGGCACCAGGAGGTCGCAGGCATCGACGGCTCCGTCTGAGTACCGCCGTCCGTCGTCGGCGCCCTGGTCTGTTCTCCCCGTGACACCAGACTGCGTACGACGTTGTCAAAGGTCTGCCTGTAGGGTAAAAGCGCTAGGTAGCCATCCCTCTGCTCCGCAGCATCCCTGTTCTTGAAGTTCATAGGTGCGTTCAGGAGATTCGCTGTCGACTCGACCTGGACCAGGTGACACAAACATCCTCTGTAGACATTGAATGCGATATCAGTGCTATCAAGAGCAGAAAGACCTCTATCTCGAAGAGAGGTCGGGATTTCTTGACGATGCTGTCATCGACCTCGGCACCGCTACCCAGGTCTACCCATGCACTCATGTTCATTTTATAGACAGCATTGCGCACCCGGCTCTCCTGCTCGTCACGAAGATGCTCAATGTATCTGACAACAGCATCCCGACCTGCCTCCGTGATGCAGACGTAGAATTGTCCATCCTCTCCGGAGGTTGGGGAATAGCCGATAAGGATCTTCGCATCCGGAAAGAGACGAATCTCTTCCTTGATCGGAAGGAAGTCGCTGCTCTCTTCGTGGAGGTCAATGTTGTCCTCGATGATCTCCTTCTTCACGTAGATCCAGGGATACTCGGTCGTCACGTTCTCCCCGATTACGCATCCCATTATCTTCTGGGTGAGCAGCGACAGATCGAGTCGCACTAATCCCGGCAATCCCTTTGGAGGATCCTCAGATCAGTTTCAGCAACCGTAACCATGTACTAATGTATTACGTATCGGAGAACTTTAACAGGACTGACCATCGACTCAGACATTCGAATCTTTTTCGGCTCCGCCAGCTCCCTCCCAGCATCTTCCACACCAGAAGCTCTGGACGAAGAGACGTACGAATCCAATTCGAAAATCGACATTCTTATGGTGTCCTTGCTTATGGCCGGCCCACTCCTCTCCTCTTCGCCTTCCCTTCCTACGTCGCCCTCCACTTCCGCATACTCCACTTCAGTCAACCCTTCTTCATCTTCGCTCTCTCCCTCCGCCTCCTCACCTTCATCCATCTCCTCTTCAGCCACCGAACTTTCCTCGCGACTCGCCCGAGCGACGATCCGCCTCTCTGTAGTAAAGGAGAATTGCTGAATGTATGCAGGGTCTAAGCTTATCAACTGATCGGAACAGTCAGGATCCAGAATCCGAGAATCACGAGAGAAATCAGAAGGTCTGGATGAAGAAATTTACTATCTTACGTTGTCCCACCAGCTCCCTTCTCGTGTAATGTTCCTCGTCCTCAGCGAAATCACTTTCGTCCTCACCCTCGTCCTCGCGTTCAGGCTCCCTAAGGATTTCTTCTTGATTGTCCATGTCGACGGTGTACACATCCGAAGGAAAAGATACCGAGTAGAAAAGACCTGAAGGGCAAAGGTCTTATTTTTTGTCCCCTCACAAAATTCTCAAATAAATATATATATATATATATTCCCGGTAAACGATATTTCGAAGGTTAGAACTTCCCGATTGTCATTTAAAATTATTAAAATAATAATAATCAATTTTAAAATCCTCCAACTACCACGTTCAGCTCTCATTGATATTTTGGCGCGACATTCAAATCTGGAAATAAAATTTCTTCAGATCGAGTCGTCCTCGTGGTACACACGAGCTTATAGGTTCACGAGGAGGAGGCCATCTTTTTTCTTCATCTTGAAACAGCCAATAGGCGACAGCTCGGTTCTCGTAATAATCCAGAAAACTAATTTCCCAAGAACTGCGAGGCAGAGCAATGATAACAGACTGGGGATTACTGAGAGTGTACCAAGGTGCTAACATAGCAGGTAATTCCAGACTCTCACCTGCCACGGATGAAATCACGCAACCTCTAATTATCTAATACCTCCTACAGTCTCTCCTAATCTTACTTTGCCTCTCTCTTTCACTTGCCCCTATCCTCTTACTGGCTTCTCCGTCCCACAGTTCCTCCATTCATTCTTCCCTTTACGTACTTACAGTCTTTATAGTCTACCGCGTAAAAGCTGGAACCTACAATCCGCCATTTACAAGCTTCTCCTCGCAGCGCCGCGCTCGGCCATAAAGCCCTGTCAAACTTTGCAGCTTTTCCACGAGGACAAGCCTTGGATTAAATCGCTGTGGCTTCTGCTGTTTTCCTAGAAATGAAACTGACTTTCCTGAATACAAGACGCCTCGAGTCTGAAGCGTCGCGACGCCACGTAGCGAAATGCTTCCTTCCTTCCTCGTCTCCTTTTATTTATTTTCTTCTTCTTTTCCTTCGTCTCCCTTGCTTCCTGCTGTGCTGACATATTCTCGGAGCTTATACTCTCGCACAAATGGTCCAGCTGCACTGCTGCTGTAAAAGTTACATTGGATTAGATTAGGTGGATGGGTATATTTTTTTTTAATACATAAAATCCATGTAACAATCACATTTCTTTTCCACACATCCCTCTCACCAAGTTCTTTTACTGCAGGCATTCAGCTAGCTGCTCGTTTCGGTCATTTCCTTTTTTCATCTCTCTCTCTCTCTTCCTCTCGAAACACTCCGCGCGCTGGGTGAGAGAGCAGAGGGTTGGTCGACCGCGCCAGTTCCGCCGCACAATACCAGGGAAAAGTAGCAGCGATAGCTCGCTTCCGTCATGGGGATAATTTCTCTATTTGTCTCTCGCTTTTGTGAAAACAAAAGCAGCTAGCTTGACAGATGCCTGCGGGAGAGAGAGAGAGAGAAAATGTAACATACGTTAAAAAGTATTCCACAAGAATACTAAAAGTGCTCGTTACGATATTACACGAGATTTTCGTACGTTCGTCTCAGTCGGTAACTGTCTTTTTCAAATTTATAAAAAAAATCAGCCACTGCTTCCATACCGTATAACTTTTGTACAATCTGTCCAACCAACGTGTATTCGATAGGTTAAGTACAAAAGAAATGAGATACGGGCATTAAGTGGACAGGGTCTACCGCTAGGCAGAGTCCCGGTACCCGGTACTTCCGGAGTGCAAATTAAACCGACGTCGTACCGGAAACTTCGGAGACTCAATAACAGCTCTCATATTTTACATACAGCGAGAGCTGAGAGAGAGAGAAAGATGAAGCGCGGTAGAAGCACGTTATGTTTTTATTCGGGACGTGAGAAACCTCGAGTAAAATATCCTAATTTACCGGAAGTCTCATTTACTGCCGGTGGATTTCCCGGCGCGAACGACTCGCCGCTACGGAAACCGGAAGAGACGAAATGGAAGAGCTCTGGCGAGTTCGTCGGGCTTCGCTATACCGGGGATACTTGCATATCCTAGGAAGCGGCACTTCGGTACTTTGCCACTTCGCCACCTCGATCATCCGCCGGATCGTAAAATCTTATGAGATTGCGAGGTGCCTAGCTCATTCCCACTGAGGATCCCCCTGAATTCCCCTGAATCCAACGTCCGACGGAGATCAGCAGAGGAGGGTCTTGGCTCCTTCCTTCTACGTGCACGGAACCTTCTGTATATTGGTGTGTATCCTTTTGGAATGATGAGTTCGACGAGCAACACGAAGCAACGGGGCGACGTGGGAAGGAGGGAGGAAGCTAGACGTTTTATGGGAGAAGGTAAGAGAGTGAGCTCGGCAGAGATCCTATGGTTATGGGAATCCGTTATTCCGTTCTGTTCCATTCGTTCCTCCTTCCCATCGGACCGATCCTTAGCGAGCCAGAGAAACGTGCCTTTTCATATTTTACAGAAATTTAAAAATCATTTTTTTCTCCCCGCCGTACCTTAAACACGCTATGAAGAATCTTAATAAAAATGCAAATTATATATATATACGTATATATTGCTTTTTTAAATAAACTCCTCAATAATCTCAAGATGTCAACCTTCCATCACTTATTGGCATCTGCCGCAAGCTCACTCGACAGGGTTAACGAGAATCAAGGGTGGACGTCCCTGTGATTAGAGGGACGCGTCCAGATGGATAGACGGATAGATGAATGGATGCTTGGTTAATTTTCAATTAACCGCACCTACCCGAGCCAGATGAGAACATAGGTTATAGCTGGTTGGATTATCAGAAGCATGATCGGTGGATCGGGCGGTGGCTGCCCGACTACCGATCCAGCATCGCTATTCCTGTCCTCGACACTGGCTGACTGGGCTGCTTTAGCTTCTCCTGCTTGCTGATCGAATTTCTGATTGTGATCGGACATAACTTCACGCGTGTTGCACCCAATTAACCGAGTAGCCACTTCTATCAGGATTTCCTATCCTTATCCATTTTCCAGCCCTTATTTTCATTCTTCCTCCTTGTCGCTCTCCTTCTCTTACCCCCGGGTCATTGACTCCCTCGTCGGCTGGATGACTTCCGCGATTCCTTCTGTCCCAAACCCCTTCGCTCAATTTCCTCTTATTTAGTGAACTCGAGCGCCTTCCTATCTCGTTAGTAACGGGATCTTTTCTCGGACAAGCTAAGTTATTTCCTTCATTTTTTTAACTAGAAATTGCGAGGGTCCCCTCGTTAGCACAATTAATACCCTCCGCAGACCGGATCGCGATCTCCTCGATCGATCCTCCGCAGCTACGACAAGTCTAGATCCCCGTCCGCCTACGCGTCCTCTTTACTGGCTCACTCGTTCCTTTATTATTCATTGTCCTGTTCTTCGACGTCGATATGTTTTTCAACGCTGACACGTACCGTAGCCATGTACGACAAGAATGGAATTCGTAATATGTCGACCAATTAAAAGTTTTAGCATTGACGAAGGTGGCCGAAGTTCACGTAATTGGCTATCTGGATAATATCTGTACTAGATAGGAAAACTGGCTGTATGTAGAAATTTAGGAATTTATGCGAGCTAATAGGTTAGCTATGTAACTAGGACCACGTACGTCACACGTCTGGACGGTTTGATCCAATGAATTAAATAGATTATTACGTATCGATCCGATTGGTAGCTTGATATCGTGTTAGCATTGAATTCATCGATATTTATAAATAATATTAATATTATACTCTTTTTAAAATTTTTCACTATCTTACTTACGTATTGTTCGACTTGGTAGAGACTCTTATAGCCATACCCGGGATACTGGTATAGAGGAAAATTTAATTATCGATGTCTCTTGGGATTACGTAATAGCGTGATAACCTTTTACTTCGACAGTCTTGTGAAATCCGTTCAAATTAGTTTCTTTGTGCAAAGGGAAATTCTGTCCGAGAATTAAATGCCAATCGGGCGTGGCGACGGCTGAAACTAAATACCTTGGTTCTTCTTTGAGTCTGATTCGAATATTTCTCTAGCGACGGGGTCAATGGAGGTCGCAAGAAGATCGATACGAGGCATCGAAGAGAAGCTGCAACCTTCTTTTTAGCTACTGTAACCGGGAATTACGTCTGACAATTGTCTTGCACGTTTGCCAAGACGTATGCGGCCCGCTGACTTTTGATTTAAAAATTGTTTGTCGCGAAAAGGTTTGTGATTAATTGACACCTCTTAATTGCTCGACTCGCGAGACAGTTTACGTGCTTAATTGGTAGCCCTTAATTGCTGGAGTTTCAAGCTTAGAGAAATATTTTACAGTTTCAAGAGATATTCGCGAGCACGCTCATGACGTCATTGTCCATGAATAATTAGGTGACGAAAAAAAACGTATCTAAAATATCTCAGAATCAGGTCAATATCTCGGGCGATTTGTCTTCCATGTAAAAAAAAGAAGTTTCACTTAAATATGCTACGCTTGTAAATGTCCGTCTGCAATTCGTATTCACGCTTCCATGGCGGCGCTATTTTTCATAAGTTTTTCGCAACTTCTCTGTATTCAATTTGCGTTGGCTCGCTTGGCTCCTTCGACCTGGGATGAGTTCAACTGCTGGTTGGCATCTTGGCTCGCTATCCTGGCTCTTCCTTCGGCTGCTCACGACCTCCCGACCTCCCGACCTCCCGACTCCCTAATAGATGTAAAACGTATGCGGCGGCAGTCTTCCTTGGCGCTAACCTGAAGAGGAGAGGAACATGAGAGTGCCAGCGGAGGAGCACGTGTAGGGGGTACGCGTGAGTCCCGTATGATCGGCTCCGAAAGTAGGAGCACGTGGAAGAAAGATGAGGAGGATCAGAACGAGAAGATTCCAAAGTGGAGGAGGGAATCTGCGCGGCTCCATTCATGGCAGTAGGCCAAGAGATACTGATATCACGTGGGTAGCATACAATGTTCTTGTACAAATTTTCTTTCCGTTTTGAGGCATTTTTTTTTTTATACCAGTTTTGTCTATCAATATTAATCATCACGTTTTCCGATTTGATTCTTAATCCTCGTAGAAAACTTTAGCATTGCCAATGATTTTTTTTCTTCCAAGTAGGTGTGATCAATCAATGGATTGAATAAAAAATTTTTGCATTTGGGATAAAACTATTGGCAATACAAGACTTTCTTGGGGGGTGAACATTTTTCATTTCCTGTTTCGTAACATGTATTTGTATAGGGTTCATATATCTTTTACTGCTGTCACTGGATAATAATCTTTAATATCTTTCTTGTCTTGTATTATGTACTTATAGATAAGTTTGGTAAATAGTACGTTAGAGTGTACACTGAAGAAAAGATTCAGCTGCTCTCTCTCTCTCTTTCTCGGTCTTCTACTTCTCTTAGTTCTTTCGCTTCCTTTATTTCTACTTGTATTCGCCTCGGTAAAACTTATCTTATTCGAAAGTTTCCATTACATCACATCGCATTGGTCCGCGCAGCTATAACCTCCCAAACTTTTTCCTAGCGATCCGCCTCAGTAATTGAACTTTAAAGCAACGAGTCCAACGTAACGAGCCAAGTAACGAAGATTGTTATAGGGTTTAGGGAAGTCCCGAGGAGCAATCCGTTTCCCTCTTACCAACTTCCTTTTCTCGCCTATCTTTTCCCTTTTTTTTTATTACTTTTTAATTTCTGCAAAACTATCCATTCTCTTCATTTATTTCGCATTCATGTACCAAAGCCTTGGCCATTTTTCACTGCATCCACATCCAGCGAAGGGAACGGAGCTGGATTTAAAATTAAAAAATTTTATTATAATTAAACCTGAATTTTCAGGGTTTTTTTTTTCCCTAGCAAGCAAGAGGAATATTTACAAAGAAGAGAAATTACCAACTCGGACTTTTTTTGTGACATTTCACGTTTCCCTAATTAAGCCGCTTTAACTTCACCTTCTACTATTCCTTTCCCTGCAATTTGCTGGTACACACTCATTGGATTGGAAAATGAGAAGATTGAGAACCCTATTGATCAGGTTCACGTAAGGCTTAAAAAGACTCGGCTAGATTTTATTGTAGAGTTGCTGGAACATGCTGGAATAATATTTGGGATTAGTTAGAAGTGGAACAATCGCGAATCCTCCATCTGGATTCTCTTGCGGATTATGAGTTACGAATCGCTTCTCTCAAACTGAGTGATGAGCGATAAAGTAAGTAAAGTCGATAATAAACCGAATGGTATTTACATATATATGATTTACTCACAGAAAGCTAGATCGCTATCCTCACCACTGTGGTTTCCTACGAGGCGTCCATGTCGCCACGAAATTAATGGGCACAGAAACTCCAATGAGTTTCCGTTTCCGGCGTGGGAAATGCTTCGGCCAGACTATGGAATTACGCTCCTGGTTCCCCCTGCTTTAGGATTTCGCAGTTCGTTTCTCAGTTCCCAACACTTAGTTCAAGGTTTCTCCGCTAGTCGAACGATCCGCCAGTGATTTTCAATCAAGAAATCTTCGCGAAGCGACAGTGATATACATGTGTATACCCAGAGGTATTTCGATCGTGTGCCTTTCAGGGTATCTTGAATAGAGAGAACATTTAAAATTGAGTGTCAAGGAGAGAGGAATAGATAGTAAGTGAGTGAGTATCATTCTGTTAAAGAGAGGGAGGAACTTGAGAAGAAATCCTTCTTTCTAGTTCTAACCTCTACGCCATGATGTGTCGTTGGTGATGCGTGAAACGCGCCGTGGCTTCCAAAGGGAATAGAAACAGTCCTCGAGGAGTTGCTGGCGTCAGTGATCTCTTAGTGTTCATTGTGTTCGTGTGTTCTCAGGGGGCGACTGAGAATACGGAAAAGTCTTACCGTGAAAGCGAACAGACCGAGGTATCCAAGTTCGCGTAAAAGCAGCTTCAGACAAAGTTTACCCTAAAAGTAGATCCGTCCTTGCGGCCAACAGAACTGAAAACGTGTGTCGTTCTCTTGAAATATCGTAAAAATCTCAGTCACTCTCTGTAGTGGGTACTTCCCTCTTCTCATACTTCAACCTATGAAAACTTAACTTTAAAGAACTTCAACTTCGACAAACTGAATTCCCATATACAAACGATTCGACTCCGTCGTCTGCCTGAATAATTTCTAGCAACTTTATTTTCTTATGTCGATTCAGTGCCAATATCTTTATATACTTTTACCAGATTTTATGCGTAGTCGCTACTAGTGTCTAATATCAAAGTGCGCGCAGAAATAATAATATTGCTTTCGGTGCGCGTAGTAAATTCACTTTCCGAAGAAAAACGTCGGATTATCGTGAGGAAAACATTCTGTCGCAAGGACGACAATATGTTTTAGCCCTCAAGGAGAATTTTGCAGGAACGCTACTACTTGGCTTCTATCAGGTACTTCCGTATATATAACTAATAGGATTAGATCATAAAATTAACAAGCATCTTGTATTTATAAACCAGGATACATCCTTCTTTAATTCGTTTCAGACATTTATAATGAATTCGACGTTTCACCAATAAAGAGCTTTGACATTAACATTTGAGCAAGAGAACCTTTAAAAGCAATATCCATTATATACGTAATGTGTATGTACAGTGATTGAGATTTTTGATATATTTGGAAAATATATACATGTCGCAATATCCGTACGTCAGACATAGTCTACGACGCAAATAATTTAGAACCTAATGCACCATCCATTTACAATGAGCTTGGCTAAATTCGTTTGCTTCAACCTGATTCCCTACTGATATAACTTTATGTAAACATAAAAAGTATTTTAAAAAATATCGGAACCTTTTTATTAAACAGTTTTACGTCCCTGTATTTCACCAAGGGTGGCTATTAATACGTCTTTGTTAACGTGAAAAAGCTTGAAGCCTTTTCACTGAAAAAATGGCTATTCAAAAGTATTATTTTTATACTATATACGTATATACACAAGTGGTGAATCCTTTAGGAGTTCTCTATTTCTGTGGTACACATAAATTCTCTCTCTCTCCATCTAAATCTGTCTTTCCCAGTTCCACTCTTCCTGATCATCCTGCTCAACAGCCGAGATGGGATTACGATTCAATCCGCGAAACGACAAAAATATCTAGCTCCTGTTGAGCGAGTGGCAATTGATCGTTCAAGCTTCAAGAAAGGGATGATGGGATGAAGAAACGTCGTGCCAAAGGGACTGGCATTCTCGGTGGTGACAGTGACGTCGATACTGATGTAGAAAGCTACAGGGATGCTGTTCACCACTCACCCCACCTTAGTCTTAATCTTACTTTTATCCATAGCACGGGGCGCACTCTTAACCTTACTAGTATTTTCATTCTTGCCTTTCTTCATCGCCTTCACCCAAGAAAGCTTCTCGGATCTAACCCCAAAGTATGTAAGAGATCTTTTATTCTCGAGACGCCTCAGCAGTGTGTGAGATGATAGATGCTTGTAGTACCTGGTAAAAAAAAATGAGTGCTAGTAAATATCAATGAAGGTACTGCGGTTTTCATCTTGAATAGATATGGATTTATTATTATTACTCTTTAATCACTAGATAGGTAATAAAATATCCCTAGGACTCGAACGACTCTCGTTATCACTGGATGGCAGTCAATACCACAGTTATGGAAGTGATAATGGATACGAAAGAGGTATTCGTAAAACGGAATATGAGAATCAAGAATCGAGGGGTCGGCGTTGAATTTCCGGTTAGGATCGATCGATCGCAGTAAGAGGAGACCGTTGTAGGAGGTTAGGGTGGCGTCAGGACGATTGTGGGCGAGAAAATAAGAGCCGTGGGCGATGGTGACGCCAATGGGGAATACGAGGACCAAGAGAGGATTCGAAGGAAGAGATGGCTTATCGGAGTCCAATTTTGCAAAAAGCATTTCTTTATCTGGACTAATGTTTCGGGAAGGGAGTCTGCTTCGCCGGGCGTCGCGACGTTACTCGAAAATTCTCGACCCGCGCGATACACGTGTCAAAATCACTCAAGAAGTTTAACCACGAAAGAGGCAAAACAGATCGCGATGTCTTGTTGCCTGTTCGGTATACGAATATATTTATTTACTTACTTCCTGTCCTCCTTCCTTACGTTCTTTCCTTCTTAAGTTTTTTCCGTGACGAAGCCCCCTTGTTTTTTTAGTTCTCCCGAGACCGAAGTACCAAAATATACCAGATCTCACGTACTTCACCTATTATTATCCGGCCTGTTCATAATACACGCCACTGTGTGTACCTTTCATATTTTTCTCCTTTTCTCTCTTTGACTTCCTTCTCCTCACATTCGCTCCTCTCACTCTCTCTATCGTCCCGCCATTTCATCTCGTTTCGTCTCGTTCCGTTTGGTTCGACTCGGTCGAATACACTACGGTACAGAGAGGATGGAGTGCTGCGCAAATTTCCAAGCAGCGTTCGCACGAGGTAAGTACCGTGTAGAAGAGCGAGATAAAAAATATAGAGAAGGAAAAGGGAAAAAGAAGCCGTGGTACAAAAGACACGGGACACCGAATACGAGGCAGCAGTTTATTTTCCTCGGAGGGAGCATTTCAATGGGATGATGCAAAAGGGTCGAGTATGAGGGTATCGGTCAATTGTAACCGAAACGTTGTTCATACGTATTTATATTTGCTGTACCGTTCTTACATAATTCCAGTACGTTGACAGAAGAACCAAAAAAACGCATTAACCTCCGAATTCTTTAGACGCATTGAGCAGATTTAAATTTCTTACCTTTTTAACCTTATCGACACAGCACTCGGTACTGCTTGATTGCCACAATCATAGAAATAAGTATTCGATATCCCTTTCATGTTTTCTCGTTGCTTCTTTTTCTCTGGATTTCTCGGAAGCAACTTACCACATCGCTGATCCAGAACACCTGGTACCTTTCCAACGGTCTTAAATCACCTTTGCACAATTTGATCGAGGTTACGTCCATTTGTACCATCGCACTGCGTGAAGTTGTAAGAGTCATCGATTCGAGCTATTAATTTATCAATATTGCTTCTAACACATCGACGAAAATAATTTATCTGAAAGTTCGGAAAGCAACGCTTAGGAACATATAGAAGTGCAACTGTGTGTACGGGATATCGAGAAAGTACGAAGCAGTGGAAACTAACGTGAAAGCGAAGTTCGTTCTTATGCCGGTAGATGGCGAGCGTTGGAACTCGCAGGACTTTGTGCGTCAGCCCGATTGACGTGGCAAAGTGGGAGGAGGCTGAAATTTCTATCCTTCATCAATTCGCAAGAAAGTTGCGAATAGTCTGTTGAGTAGTTCTCGATGCGCTGCGTTACCTTGTGCGCCAATTTCATTTGGTGTAACGTCGCGTGGCGCTGGCGAAGTAGAAATCAGATTTTACGGGAAATTGAAGAACGTATTTGGATCCTCGCCAAGAAGTTGAGAAGGAGAGAAAAAGAGAGAGACAGAAAGTGGGATAAAAGGGAAAAAAGCAAAGGGTAACCGAGAGCGAAGCAGAGACCGAGTGAGTGCGAGAGAGAGAGAGAGAGAGAGAGACCCATCGCAATGGCAGTACAATCTCCAGAATATTTGACATGAAACGTAGTGGCCGCTCTACGTACAATTAACCCCGACCCTCTGAATATCTACAACCCGCCGCCATTTCCATTCTGCAAATAGCACTTCCTGTTATCTTTTTATTTATTATTTGAACATTATTTATTATTTATCTTTCTCAGGGTACAAGCGGCTGCAGCAACTGGGACAGTAGTACCGTGCTGGAAGGATACAGAGTGGAATGGTAGGTGCTGGGATGCTGCACGTCTTGTTGAACCACGTTACGAACACTGGATACAGGGAATCAGTGAAGAGACTGAATGGCGGAAGAAGAGAACGGAAAGAGAGAGAGAGAAGGAGAAGAGGGCTAATACCGTGCCATGTATGTAGGAAAAGGAACTAGGCAGATATATAGCCTCAGAATTGGTTAAGAATCGATCGATTGGATAAGATTGCGAAGAATCCTCCGAGTACAAGAATGGTGTTATTTACGAGGAATCTCCTGGGACACCTTCGATTGCAACACGTCACGGATTAACTGCTCTCAAATCTTTCGGACCCTCTTTTTGGCCCCCTGGCCTCACGGTCCTCGTTATCAGCCGAAAATTCCTGATCGTCCCTTAGGTCTTTGGATACGTGCGCTTCATCATGTTTTCATAGCGGATATCATTGGATCTAATAAAGCTTAGTTGAGTAAATTGATTAGGTAAATAAATAACGAGAATGCAATTTCATATCAACACGTTTATTTGGGTTATGCAATAGGCGTATATCCATAATTATTGTAAATACACGTATATGGTCGTCTTGAGTAAATCGTACAGGCGATCTTCTCTAAAGATCGTACATTCGAAAGTTCAAATCGATGCATCCTTACCAGGATGGGAGCAGAAAGCTCGGCTCTTATTCGGTCGAATTACCGAAGCGACATCCGGTCGTAAGCGTCGCGAGGACGAATACGCGGTTGCCGCACAAAAAGGAAAAATTGAAAAACTCGAGAACATTCAAAGACTGAGGGAGAAACAATTGATCGGCAAGAAGGATCGAGCCGTGATGGGGAGGCGTCCCGACGCTTGGCGCCGCATTATGCAAGTGCCCGTTGGTTCGCAAGGCGCTCTTTTTTTTTTAAATATATCATATGAAAATGGAAAGACTGCCGACGCCTTTTAAATGCGTCGCGACGCTACCTCCACTCATTCATTCTCATAATCCATCCAATTTCTTATTTGGCAGGAGCGCCATTATCGTTTACACACGCAGACACACATTAACGTACTCCCACGTACATTCATGCTGATGCATTCGCAAGCACACACGACTGATATATATGTATATATATCTCTTTTTTATATGTATATACATATAGATATATATCTTCTTGTATATTTATATATTAATTTTTCTTTATCTAATCACGAGAGTTCAATTCACCTTATGCAAGAGTGTACTTTGAAAAAATATCGCAGCTGTACATCGGTATATGTTACATGGATGAGTATTTTATTTTTTTTCGGGGGAGGGACTGGGGAGGAAGGGTGGATAAATCACGTTTCCTTTTGGGGCACGCTTTGGACATCCTGGGAATATCCAGCTTTGAATTAATTGGAGCATCTGAACGTAAATCAGACAGAGAGTAGATATTCCTGGAAGCAGCGTAGAGTTGCTCAAAGCATCCGTACGATGATTATCGGAACGTTTTTCGCAAATGGTGGAAAAGTCCATCGACCGTTCAGTATAATAGAATTTCTCGAGGTATTTACAAAATTTACAAGTTCGATGACTGATCAGATCCCCTTTGCGTCGCTAACTCTTATTCACAATGAATTATCTATGTATATATATATATATATATATTTATTTTTTTGGCTTACCGCCTGGGACCGACAATTTCAGTCACAATTCTAATATCATTTATCTCCAGCCGTGGCACAATTTATCATTTTAATTCATCCACGTAGAGACTTCGCGTATATTCATATTTGACTCCATTCGAATAAATCATTTATCAATATATACAATATTTCGTTAAAGTAGTAACGAGATCGAAGGAAGCAGTGTATCGAAGGACACAAAAATCCGTGATCTATTCATCCCCTCCCTCGTTGTATTTACTTCAGATTGTTCCTTCAATCGTCCCTTCGATCACGTCCCCTAATCAATTTAAAATTATTGATATTAGGAGACCACGGCACCGGCGCAAAACATGCTGAGGTTGAATGGGTGGCAGCAAGTATACAGTGAGGAAGTGATAAGGTGGAAGGGTAAAGGAGGAAAGTGGATAAGGGATGAAGGTAGGGACGAAAGTAGAGATGAATGGGAGTCAAATGGAAAGGAAGTTTTCAAGAAAGCCCTTGGGCGAGACGGCCCGTGTATATATATACCTGTAACTTAACGAGCGAGAACTAAGGAAGGGTTGATAGGGATTATGAGGTGTAAAGAAGGCGCAGGGTACAGAGAAGGGTGTGCAGAGCATAGAGGGGTTAGAAAGGGGGCGAAGAGGTCTGTTCGACGCGACAATCAGACGTAGTACTCGTTGACTTTGAGCGCGTCGGATTCCCTCCCCTATACGCAACTCTCTTGCGTTGAGATGAGGGGTGTGCGAACAGTGACGACTTCCCGTGGATGGTGAAGCTGTTGCTTGCCGAGGGAGCCTCCGGATATATTTGAGTCCTGGGAGTACGCCTCGGAGAGGATGGATCCGCTCGTTACGGTCGTTGCAGTGGTGGGCGACGTCACCGACGGCACGACGCTGGCGTCGCTCAAAGCTGCTTTCGCGTTGTGGTCTATGCACGCGTAGACAGTTGCTTCCTTCTGGAAGAGTCTTCCGCTGGATATGCTTCCGCAATTTCCGGTTCCGCTGATACTCCCTCCGCCTATTATCACACCCAGACCGCCACCGTGGCCCGAGAGTGCGGCTAAGCCACCCACCTTGGGATCCGCTCCCGTGGAAAGGGTTGTCGGCCGGGCCAGACACAGTTCCGCGTAGGTCACTTCACCACTTGACAGCTGAAACGAGGAAATTGAGATGGTCCGGAGAATCTTGGAACGCAGCTGGATTGTTTATCTGGGGAGGGTCTCTTTGGTGGCGTCAGGAATCCGGGAATACGGGATCTAAAACAGTCAGAGAATCATCTATGGGATCGGAAGGGATGCTGAACTCACCGGCAAGGTAGGATAGTTAGTATAGTCGGCATGTGGATAGGCCGGTAGTCCTTGATGATGATGTTGATGGTGACGATGATGATGATTGGGTTGATGAAGTGATAGGGATGTTCCGAGAGCCGTTGAAAGGGCGTCAGGAGTGCTTTGTCCAGCGAGCGGCGTCCCCGCCGTCGACCCCGTCAGCTGGTAATCTGAATCTTTTGATGAAACAATCGGATCGCTCGATACCCTGAACTTTCTCTCTCTCTTCTCCGTCGGCGCTAAATCCTGGACGTACCTTTGTTAGTGGGAACGACGTCGGGGTTCCTATCGTCGGCATCGTACAGGTCCTCGGCGGTAGGTGCACTGACCTTCTTCAGAGGTAGATCATCCGGTCTTCCCGCCTTCCGATCGCTCCTCATCTTAAGAGCTCCCAGGATGGTTGTTGTCACGAGCAAGAGCGCCGTCACGACGCCTATCAGCACCCCCAGCAATGGAGTTATCTCAAAGGGCACAGGACTCCCTGTAGACAGAATCCTTGCTGCCTTTTTCCGAAACTTCATCCCCCGTCATTTACCCAGCCCTCTACCCTATCGGATTCTAAATCTCATTCGGTTCACGAATTTAGTAATCTATCCAAAGCCATGTTTACACACCAAAACACAGAGACTCTAACGTCAAAGTTGAACCAAACGAACTTACCCGTCTGCTTCTCAGCAATCTTCAGAGTGAAACCTTCAAGAAGCGTAGGATCGCTCCTACCTTTGGCATTCACCGCATATAGCACCATATTAAGAACCTTGCCAGGTTCAAGACCTCGAACAGTGAAGGAAGCAGCAGCATTTTCCCTTGAGGTCACATTAGCCTGCAGTAGACCAGTGTGCTGATCGAAGACCTCAAGAAGGAAGTGCTGAGGTTGACCTCCGTCGAATCCAGCCGTACAAGCCACCGACAGGGAGTCAGTGGTCTGATTAGTCAGAGTGCAATTATAGGGAGATTCAGGTTTTCCTAGAAACACAGGTGAGCAAAGTCTAAGTCTCTCTTCCCCGATCTCCACGATGATTGTCGCCCGTTTCCTCGCGGTACCATAATATCTTTCAGATCCATCTACATAACAAGATACCAGAGAAGAAACTGTTTACCGGCTGGTATGATATGAAATACGCAAGCATTCTTCTGCTGTCCAGCTGTATTGCTGGCCCAGCAGAGTACGGTGCCGTAGTCCATTTCCGTGACGGGTCTGTAGGTAAGGACGCTCTGGGTGTGACGGGTCGAACTCTTGTACCGCGCCTGCGGTACATCGACCATTTCCTCGGTGTTGTTAAACGCCCAGCGGAAGCTGTCCGGCGGTGGATACGCTTCGACCTGGCAAATGATCCTGGCATCTTCGTGTCTAGCTACACCGTAGATCCTCTTCTGATCGGACACGCAGATCGGTTTGTCTGCAATAACGATCCACTTTACATCTGGTGCTCCACCAGGTCGATGCCATACACCAGGTTCTAATATCCCACCCATAAAGCGTTAGCGACGTCGTTCGCGCTAATGGTACTCACACATGATCTTGAGCTCGACGCTATTGCTGTAGCCATCCCCTTCTGTGTTACTGGCAATGCAGGTGTAATTCCCAGCCTGGGATCTGCTCACGTTCCTTAAGGCTAGGTCGTATTGTTGCACTATGACCCCGTCCTTCGCTTTGTTCTGTATCACATTACCCTACCACGGAAGCACAATGATCAGTCTCCTAGGGACTGTTTACAGCGTATAATAGACATCAGGATTATCCTGAACTCACGTTGTGTCTCCAGACGACTTTATACGGCCACGGGTTCGCAAGAACTTTGCACTCGAAGTAAACGTCATCGCCTTCTTCTATGTCGTCAGGATTCATATTAGAGCCCAGCTCGAGATGCAGTATAGGAACGACTGTAATGCAAACGGGTCAAAGGTCAGGATCGTTATAAAAGAGAAAAAAAAATAATTTCAATATTCAACAATCCTATCACTGATACAATTATCATTAATATTAATTTAATTAATACGCTACAAGGTACTGGCTTCAAAAGACACCCTCTGACTACCTACACCAGACGTTAAGCTTCCAAGTGTCTTCCTCGACGCCGTCGCGCACGCGGCTGTTCTCGGCGCGACACGTCAGCACCTTATCGTGATCCAGCAGCGTCGGCTTAAGCGTCAAGGTGGACGTCGTCGTGTTGCCATCTTGCGATACCTGAAATCATCCTCGTGGTGAAAAAGGAGGAAGACCGGCTCTGCGTCTCTCGCTGCCTTATGCCGCATGCACAACGGAAATGCCGTCTACGACCACGGAATTTCGGATCGCAAGGGTTTTGAGGAACCGTACAGAGACTGGTCCCAATTCCTGGCAATAAATTAGCCGTGTCTAGGACGAGGGAAGAAGTGGCCCGAATTCGTAGCTAGGGAGGATCGATGAAGCCGCGTGTCTCGACTTCATTCCCCGCCGATATCATGACGTACTGCCAGTTATCGCTCGACTCAATATCGGCTTTCGGCCGCGACGATCTCTCTTGAGCACGCCACAGGATTATTATTTGTGGCTCCTGCCCTTTTTCTTCTTCCTTCGCTCCTCCCGTAGCTTCTTCCTCTTTCATCCTCACGATCAATCTCCACCATCCGCAGTCTTACCGGGCTTTCTCATTGTCAGACTGACCGAGCGACGCTGGCTCCAAGAGAGAAATGGAGGAGGAAGGAATGGAAGGGAATTGAAGAAGGTCACGTGAGAGAGGGTAAGGGGCCAGGATGGGGCGGATGGGGCGGATGGGGCCGAGGGTGCTGGCACAAAGGGATTCCTCGGTGAGCTTGAGGAGCCGTGCGGGGCTGCCCTGTAATTACGTCTTGGCGTGTCAGGATGCTAATGTGTGCGATGTAAATACCGATAGGTACGTTAATTTCTGGGACTTCAGCGACGCGAACGTCCCTTCAAACATTGAACGGTCAGATTGAGAGGGAGTGCTTGCGGGGTAGCCTGTCTTTATGTTTTCTCTTGTTCTTGGATACCCCTCTCTTTTCATTCGAATACGCACCCTGGTAGGCGACTAGGTTATATCTGTCGTTGGTAAAGACTCTCAATCCCATTTCATATAAAGAGACTATTTTCATATATGCGAATTTTCATATATGCGAATTTTCATATATGCGAATTTTCATATATGCGAATGTGGTTTCGAGTCAGTCCCAATGATAATCATAAAATTAGAAAAGTTAGTCTTACCTCCACCGTAAAATTGTCCAACCTCTTCCCATCCAAGTACCAAAAGAGTTTGGCTGGGGGTCTTGAGCCCGCTGTCATGCAGGCAATCTCGTACTTCCGGTCTGCACTCAGGGGTGCGTGTTCGCTGCTCAGTATGGAGACGGTCAGAGGTCGCACTGCAATTTATAAATTTAATTTAAAAAAAAGTTCACTTTTACCTTGTAAATTAGATAGATATTTTTCACCTTTTTATTCAATAACCGCGTAAATTCGTATACGCTAATGATTATCATCAGTCACATTCATTCGTCCGCGTCGCGGTTTATCACTTGGCTAGTCATTCAACCTGAATATCTACTGGATGCTACTTCATTACCGGCCTACCACCGAGACCCAACTAATCCGGCAAAATAGCCGTCAATGTGACGAGTGTTCAAGGTTCACCAACAGACTCATTCGTGGCTTCTGTGGGTCGACAGTCGGACAGTGACAATTCCAGCCGTTGGGATGCTAAATAATTAATTATAAGCTCATGGCTTTCCAAAATTCAAAATACACCGATCATCGAGCATGACGATCAAGTACGTAGCCTAAGAATTTTAATTTAAAATTTTCCTTTTTTTCACTTTTTTATTTTTTCTCACCTCTTTGTCTCCTTTTCGTATCCTCCCTCCCTCCCTCTCTCTCTCTCTCTCTCTCTCTCTGAATTCGGAGTTCAACCGTACTCCGTCTCTCTCGCTAAACGGTCAAATATACATTTTGCTAACCTGGTTTTCCCGATATTCCTAGGTCGCTGAGATTCGTGAGTTTCGCCCGGCTCGCAAGTAGCCGTCCCAAACACACCGTCGGAGTCCTTATAACTGTTCCTACGGCTATTGTTGCATTCAGCGTATATATATATATATATATATATATATATACTATATATAAAGCTTGCTGTACTGGCAGTGCTCTCACACAAGACTCACTCGACTCCGAGAGAGAGTCTGAGAGGGCTCTCTTAGCAGCTTCAAAATACATATATATACTATATATAAAGCTTAGTAGCCGTCCCAAACACACCGTCGGAGTCCTTATAACTGTTCCTACGGCTATTGTTGCATTCAGCGTATATATATATATATATATATATACATATATATACTATATATAAAGCTTGCTGTACTGGCAGTGCTCTCACACAAGACTCACTCGACTCCGAGAGAGAGTCTGAGAGGGCTCTCTTAGCAGCTTCAAAAACACTGTCTCCCCGTATACAATCAACTTCCACCCTTGAGAAGTTCAAGCGGTTCATTCTCTCTCTCTCTCTCTCTCCCCATTCCTTTCACCTTCTATACGTAATTTCTCCTCCTTCCTCTTCCATTCCTATTGTCCCCTTTCCTTTTAGTCCCTTCGGGATATCAACCGGTTAGTCCGCCCTCTCGCCAGTGTCCACTGCCTTACGGACTTCAAGCATCTCCGCAGCTTTATTCTGGTCTCTATTTTTTTCTTTCCCCTCCTCGACGCCATTATCTTTTATTTGCGTACTTGCGAGTGTTTCCAAAGATCCACATTTAAGTGTTCGCGAAAATGTCGGTGGGTCGTGAAGGAGGGGAGGCTTTTCCATTGGAGAAAAAAAAAAGAAGGATGTAGGATTGCCAAGATAGAGAAATAGGGAAGCTTGCGAGAAGAAAGGAGAGAGAGAGAGATAGAGAGAAAAAGTTTTGAGAAATGAGGAATGAAAGGTAAATTGCTAGGTAGTAAGGTTGGGATTGGTGGGTCGCTCTCTAAATTAGCCCGAACGTTACCCAATTTTCCTCGCCGATTCCATTAACAGCCAACTGCCCTCTAATTAGTCAAGCTCGATTAGTTTGTTAGGTGGGCGGGTGGGTAAGCGGGCCGCGTGCACTTTCCTTTCTTGGTACACTAATTCTCAAAGTCCATTTCATTTTAGCGATAATTCTTACAGATTTGTCCCCAGCCCCCCCTGGTCCCCTGATCCACTTGCACCATCCCTTCTATCTCTCGGTGACAATTGCAATAGTCCCTCAAGTAAAAGAAGCGTCCATTGCAATGGCAAAAGAATAAATTAGTAAGGGCATCGGAGGCGCTTAGTGCTTTACCGGCTAAGAGCTGTCAGCCAGTATTGTTTCTCTCTGGCAAATAGCAGAGGGGACGTACCAAAGATATAAAGGTAAGAGAGAGAGAGAGAGAGAAATAGCAGCCGGGAACAGGAGAGTATAATGGAAGCGAACGGTACAAGACCGATAAGCGATAGAAAGTCCAAGGAAGCGGTGGGGGGGGGTGCAGGTTAGCAAAGGAGGAGGAATGGCGCGCGTTCACCGACTTCCTCAACTTGCTGCCGGAGTTCCTCGAGCTGGTCGAGGAGCTGTTTCCGTGGTAGCAGACACATAAGACAGCATTCCGATAATTCCGCGGACTGCACCCTCGAATTTATGAGGTTTAATCCTTTGCGGAATCCGGGCAGCCCAGAGCCGTGGCGAAGCTCGAGGGTCGGTTGATGGTGCCCGGGTGGATGACGGGGCGGAAGGGGAGGGTGTTACCGGAGGGCTTTTATGACCGAGCAAGGAGGAGCCAGTGATACTCGGAGAGGACTTCCGGTTCCGCGATACCCAGAGGAAACTAGAGACAAGGATGCATATACGTATATACGTGTAACGTATGAAGGTAAGACACCGTAGAACGTCACCTGGGAGTCACTCGAATATCGTCACTCGGGTCTAGATTACCAGGGGCCACACCGAGTTGCAACCCTTCCCTAAGACTCGAGTATCATCCTCCTTTCGTTCGCACCCATCCAGCCGTCAGCTAATCCGCTGCAGCTTTGCGTGGAATTTAATAAAAATCCAAAAGCTTTTCCTTGTGCTCCGGAGAAGGGGCGTAAGGGGGGCTCCTCCCTAGCGCTGCTCGCCATTACCAGGAAAATTATGCATCGACCTTCTCTTACCCCCTTGCGCCACCGCACTACTTCTACTCTCCCCTCTCCCTCCCGCCGGCAACCTCGCAAGCACTCGTCCTCTCGTTCTCGTTCCCATTCTCTCGGCCCTCGACCAACCAGCACGACTGACGAAGGTAGCTGGTAGGTAGGTAGCAGCACGCCAGCCACCTCTCCACTCCGGTCTTCCAGTTTCCAGTTTCCCGAGGACGGTTCGCAGATAGAGTGCGGGAGGGACGGCAGGAGTGCCAGGTATAAATACTTCCCTTGCCTCGGTATCCGGGGTTCGTTTGTTCTCGACAACGGAGATTTTCGCTTTGCTGCCAGTCATAACCGCATTCCGTTGCTTGTCGAGGGGGGTTAGGGCTCTGCTCCGCGTAGGGACTATACACTGATTCCAGTAGCGGTTTGGAGCTACTGCGCGACCTTTACAATAATCATTACGAATTTACTGGCTGAAAATTTTCATCTTACTTCGAGCCGCTTTGTCCGATTGTTAGCGCATGACCTATTGTTACTCCTTACTACGTCCGACCCTTTGCCGACTTCCGGTCTGTGTACAGGCTTCCGTGGCTGGTCTTCTTTGCCGAGTAAACATACGCCGGGTCAGAGGTCACGAGTTCAAGGAACTTACGATGTCACGGACTGGGCCGACCGTGGCGGAAGGCCAAAATAATTCAAGAACTCGAAATTAAATCTCATCGGATACTAACGGTGCATCTCGATGGCAACGGAAGCGGACAATGGCTGACTGATGTTGTTGTTGGTAGCCTGACAGGTGAAGACTGCGTGAAGATCGGACCTCGACAATTTCGAGACCACCAATATGTTCCTTCGTAACGCTGGAAATTCACCAGGACCGTCCTTGGACTCCAGGAGGGTCTCCCCTCGCCACCACAGGACCGTAGGTTCGGGTCGACCTAAAAAAAAAATTTACAAACACTTTCTCATGGCACTTCAAACCTGTCGATACACCCTAATTTTCGTTTCCCATCAATTGTCCCTCCAAATGTATCTACGTGTATCTGGAAACCCAGTAAAAAAAATTACTATATTCAATCGTATAAAATGATGTCATTATGTCTGATCGGATGGAGAGGAATTTTGAATTTGATTATACATATCATTTTTTTTTCCCCGGACACTGTGCATACACACGGCTGTTATTTTACATACGTCAAATAACTATACGATATTCGTACGTACGATATATATATATATACACATAGGACGCTTGGCCAGATGCCCTTCAGTCCTTCAGAACCGTAGGTATAATCGATTCGTCATATCGACAGTACACACGGTCGCAATTTATAGCTTCGAGCTACGAGCAAGCATACCAGAGCCGTTTCAACAGAATGGCTAACTGACAAGGAATCCATCATTCACAACGTGCATCGTGCGTGCGACTAATTCTTCAACGTATCCACCAAAAAGCCTTCGCTTCACCGATGAACAAGAGTTCCTTTACAAAGAGAATTTTTACGTAGCATAAACACAGTCCGTCCGACGATCAAAGCTCCAGACATACGAAAAAGCATAGGATACAGATAGAGGAAGAAAAAAATTTATTCAGAGAAAAAGTGTGAATGGGTATCATTCGTAAAAATAATGATAACATTACCTCCGGATACGAGACACGTGAGTCGCATGTCACCATCCTCCTCGTAAGGTCCCGCGACTGTCGGCACGGTTTTACCCCGCTCGTCGATGATGTTGGGTTTGTGCGGAGGAACTGCAATCAGACGTGAACTACTCCCTAGAGTCTGTACACGGTGCCTGCCGTCTATTTAGTTTACCCAATTCCTGGCACTACACGTCCAACGCGGTACGTGCCACGCGCCATAGTCACTACCGTGTAACGAAGCGATAATCGAGCGATTGAGATTGATTTGAAACAGTAACAAGTGTCCGTGCCGATGATTACGCGTGTAGTACTTTCAGGCGCGGCTAATGGCTAATGACTAATGACGCTCGTAGCAGGTGGGCGGTACTGATTGAAGATAGTAGAAGTGCGCCTTCAAGTGGACGGGAATGGAGAAGTGGAACGCTATAGGATGCTGCAATTGGCATATATATATATATTTATATATACATATATATATCCACATACGGGAGGTCTCTGAAGTAAAAGTGGATGCAGAGGTCCCGTCATACACTAAAGTGGAACCGAGTGGTGAAGCGAGGAAAGCAATTGGAGAGAGCGAAAGAGGTCGAGAGGGAGTGAGGTTGGTTAGCGAGGCCTCGGATTGTGCGGTATGCAGAATCCTTTTTGAGGTTAGAATTTATTCGAATCGGTCCAAGTCATTCCTGGGTACAGAAGCGATCGATGGGTTCGATCGTAGCAGTGATTGTGTTAATGTCTGTAATTTGAGGAGACGGGG